TGCAGTCCTCGGAGTCACAGCTCACTACTACCCTTGCTGAACTAGAGGGTGCTTTGGCTACGGTCGCTGCTATGCGCTCTGAGCGTGCTGCTACCGATGACGACTCTACCAAGAAAGAAGCCGCCGCTAAAGAGCTTGAGGGCGGCCGCGCCGAACAGCAGGAGCTTGTGGATAGCCTGATGAGGGATATCGAAGATCACAAGTTGACTATTGCTACTCAGCTTGCGACAATTGCCGGTCTAGAAAAGTCTTACTCCGATGCCCAGGATCAACTGGCTTCGCAGACCACTATCAAGGAAGAAACCAATGCCGGCGCTATTGATTTGGGTCTTTCTTCTCGGGTCGCCGAGCTCGAGCAAGAAATCTCTACCCACAAATCGGCTGTCGATTCTCACAAGAATGAGCTCAATACTCTCCAGGAATCTCACAAGCGTGAACTGGCTGAGTTGGAGGAACGGACTAGGGTTGCTGTCCAGGCTGAGTACGACGCCCGTCTCGTCGGGAAGGATGCTGAGCATGAGAAATCCATGGCGACTTTGCAGAAAGACATTACCGAGTCTCGTAATGAGTTGGTCAATCTCCTCAAGGCCGTGTCGACTCTTCTCAACACCGAGGTCTCAGCTGATAACCTGACGGATCAGATCCAAGATGTTTTGGCCCAGAAGCAGCACTTCTCAGATAAGTACGCTGAGCTTATGGGCACCAATGAAGACTTGCGCAAGCAGCTGGAAGCCAATGCGGACTCCGAGAGCCGTCTGGACGAGATGACCCAGAAGAACAACGTCCAGGACGCCAAGGTTAATGAGCTGGCTCTCTTGGTGGCTACGCTGGAGGATACTCTCCGCCAGAAGGATGAACAGGTCAAGAAGAAGGAAGCCCTGGTGGAGGAGATCACGATCGAGAAGCAGAAGAGCGTGCGTCTCGTGGAGGAGCTGGAGGAACAAATTACCAGCAGCTTCGATCAGCATCACAACCGTCTGTCCGTTATTCAGCAGGAGCGTGATCAGGCCCTGGAAGACGCCAAGGCCAAGATCGTTATCTACGAAGGCGACATCGAGACTTACCAAATGCGAATTGAGCAGCTTGAGCTTCAAATCAAGAACACGGGAAACCCCGACGGCTCCCACGACCGCAGCAGCTCTCTCACATCCAATCTTCGCAAGAGCGCTTCCGCTGCCTCTCTTCCCTCGCCTCCACCGGCCATCCCTCTCCCTCCCCTGCCTACCATCGCCTCTCACTCCAATGCCGCTTCGTCCCCGCCAAGCTCTCGACACACCAGCAAGGAGATATCCAGTGTCCACATGGTCGAGGACCAGGAAGCTCGAATCCGAACAATCGAGAAGCACCTATACGCCGAGAAGCAGCTGACTGCCACCTTGGAAGAGGCCCTCGGCGACCTTGAAGCACAAAGCACCAAGGTTAAGAACGACTGCGAAGCCTGGAAGAAGAAGGCCTGGTCATTCGAGGATGAACTGACCTCCCTCCGCAAGGAACGCAGCTCTGCCCGTCTGTCCCTCCAGGCCGTCGAAGAGGAACGCAGTGCCCGTCGTGAAGCCGAGGCCGCACGCGCTCAGCTTGAAGAGCGCATGCTCGCCCTCAACAAGAAAAAGAAGAAGAGCACCCTCAACTGCTTCTAAGCGTCTTTGACTTGGACCTTGCTTGAGTGCTTGAGCTTTCCTAGCATCAAAAACAATCGCATCTCACTTGTCTTCCCGTTTTTCTGGCTGTACACATTTTTACCTTCTATGTCACTCTTCTTCTTTATTTTCCTCGTCCCTTGTTTCATACCCCCTTTTTTATTCGATTCCAATCATCTTCTCACCAATTTCCCTGTATTATGAGCTTTCACGTTTTGTCACTTTCCCCCTGTCGATTCCGTCAATACCTTGTCCTATAGCCCTAACCCCCATTTTCACACTCCGTTCACATATTCCTTTTCTACTCTCATGAACCCCTCATGACTGGTGGATCCTTTTATCGATTTCCTATCTTCACGACGCTGAAACTTCTCGATATTGTACATTCCATCGGCTGGTTCGCGTCGAATCTTTGTGTCGCAATCGCGGGGGATCTCGTCAATCGCTTTTCTCCCTGCTTGAATTTCATATGGATGATGTTCGCTCGTTCATATTGAGTTGCTTGTTTCGTACATTCCTGTCAATGCAGTTTTCAATGTCGGCTTATTTCCTATCCTGAGGCTGTAGAGTACAAATTTGATAGGTCTGAAATTCACTAAGTCTTCTTGAGTGTCTATAGCAACGTTCGTAGATAGATGATTCTCTATTCAATCAAGATGTATTTGCGTTGCCATTCACTTAGATCGTTAGTACTATACTTGAAACAAAAGTTCTTAATATAGGTAATATGGCTGAGAATAACTAGCATCTAAACATGTACCTTTTGTAAGCTGTGCCTAGCAAAAGATACACTGACATATGGCTATCCTTTTTATGTCGCCCCTCGCTTACCAGGATCTGCATCAACTAGCTGGTAGCACTGGAGGCTGTGCGGAGATTTATTTAGACCTGATCGACACTTCCAGCCCCGTACTTCTAGGCAGCGTAAACCCCTCAAAAAGAAAAAACAAAAATAGTCAATCGAGCATCTATTACTCCCCATCAAGAGCCCCAATTTCTAGCCAAGGTTCGATGGCCTCTTGGTTTCGGCTCAAGTTATGCCCTACAGTTGCTCCAGACCGCAACCTCCCATATCGGCCGACGCCGACATCACTGGTCTTGGGGTATGTTGCGAAGTAATTATTATTGTACCATCAACTAATCCATGTCCAGGTAATTGTAAATTATGTCGCGACTGCCGCAACCGCAGTGCTACTCATTATCATATACTTCTTCGTGGTTTACGAGCCAGCTCTGGATCCTTTCAGGAAGACAGAGCAAGACCCTTTGAACCAGTCATTTTGCCCCAACCCAGTGGATGAAATTATCTTGCGGGCTGTGCGGTATATACCTAGGCGGTTGATTGGCCCTCGCAAGATCCGTGTCAATACTCAAGTTGAGAAATGCTTTATTGAGGTACACTGTCCTTTTATTTGAACCTCCTAAAACTGAATTGACATACCATAGTGCATCATTGCAATGAGTGACCTCCAGATCGTAACTGGACTCTCGATACTCATAAGTGGGTATGCCCAACTTCATCAGGGCATTACATCCTTCCACTGGATGGTCATCGTCGACCTAGCTTGGTTTTCCAGTATTACTCATTTGGCTTGCCTGACACTTCTCCGAAACCATCTCTACAATCACCCAGCCCAGCGTCTGTGGCGATTGCTTTGTATGGCTGCTCTTGTTATACTTCTTACTGTGGCGCTCGCATTCACGGGTGGATATGATTGGACTTCCACCGACGAATGGTCGCGTTTCAGTGATGATGCGATACTGAGTATGGCTGATCCCGCAATGTGCCATTTGAGCTCCGATTCAAGATCAACCATGGTGTACTACGGAATGGTTTTCTCAATACTGCTGACAGTATTCGGTTTTGTGACCCGCATAGTCAAATTGTATAAGACTATGTCCCTCGATGTTTGGGGCAAGGCTAGAGCTAAGCTTAGCATACAAGCCCGCCGTTTGTTAAGCATTGCCTACACTTGGTGCTGCTTGAGTAGCTCCCGCAAGAGCCTGAAACGTACCATTATCTACCGTCCTCTGCTGACGACCTTTTTGGTGGCTCGTCTATTCCTAGATGGGTGGTCCTCGGTGTTTCTAGAAGTGAGTGCCTCTAGTTTGTCTAATCATATTTCCCTTTTTGACAGTGAAAAAGGTGTGCTGGTTAATAGTCGGTTTTGTTTGGGGTGCCATACGTTTATTCATAGTCTTGGGCACTACCCAACGCTCCATGTATCGGTGGTCCGGGCTGTCAATGTCTGAAATATATGCACAGGACTCTGATGAGAGGGATAGTGACTGGGGGTTCGGACAGGTTGTGGCCCTCGTTTTACTACTTGCACCTCTGATCACAATCATTAAATATCTCACTCACGGTACACCCTTCACTTTCTATGCCGATCTTTATACAGAGATGCTAACTGGATATGTTATTAGAGCAAAACCGCGGAATCTCCACAAGCTACAGTGATGATACTATCTGCATGTCACATTTTGGTCTGACTACTTCTCCTTTCACGGATGAAACCCCTAGGAGGCGTGATGATCCCAACAGCAACTGGGATGATCATACTCAAACCCTCAGCACAGCAATACTTTATTTCATGGTCGTGTGCTGTGTAATGTTGTTCTTCTTCGGCGTGGCTGTCAACGCCACAGCCAACCTTTTAAATGGGCTGAAAGGTTACTATCCACTTGCCGTCATAGCATTGATTAATCTTTGGGGGGTTGTAATCTTTTCATTGACGATTGAATTAGATTTGTCCGAAATTCCTTTATGGGCTCAAAGGCTCCTGCGTCTGCTTATCATTGGGTTTTTTGCATGCGGCGTGTTCATCTCCTTTTTTATGGAAGCATACGAAGGATCTTATCCATTTACTGGGATCGACACTTACTGGTTTTTGATATCCGCCGCTGCGTTTTATATCTTGTGTGCTGTTCTATATCGGATTCTGGGATCAGCCTCTTGAGAGCAAGTATATAATTGGAGCAACATACTGTTCTTGTTGCACCATTTGTGTGAAATATTACCTTACATTCTCTTTAACTACGTTGCGTTAAAGACTATATCTTTTAATCTTATTGATCAATAAGAATAGTCGGCACTTGACATCTACATATAGTCATGATAGCCCATTAACCAAGACTCTCAGTCCACCACGGCCTTGAGAACACCACAGCGTAACGGCCTATGCCCTATTTGCCGATTAAAAGAAATAAGGATCGACCGAGACAAGAATCCGACAAATAAATCTATTAAATCTGTGAGATAACACTGTAGTATATTTGCCATCACATGACGCGTATACCCCACGTGTCTTTAAGCTTGTCGCAACGACATCTCCAATCTCCAAGCTCCAAAAACAACTCACCATGGGCCTCAAACGGTCCAATGTGACAATAATCCACCCGGATCTGGGTATCGGAGGTGCTGAGCGACTAATAATCGACCTCGCCCTAGCCCTTCAGAACCGAGGCCACCGCGTAACGATCTACACCTCCCACCGCGATAAGGCGCATTGCTTCGACGAGGCGCGCGATGGAACGCTGGACGTCCGAGTGCGCGGGAACACCATCTTCCCCGCCCATGTTTGCGGCCGACTCCACATCCTCATGGCTGCGCTGCGCCAGCTACATCTTACCGTGTCACTACTAGGCGAGCTTGGGACAAGGGGGACAGCTACTACAACCACCGATGCCGAGGAGGACCGCGACGATATCTTCATTGTAGATCAGTTACCGGCCTGTGTGCCATTTTTGAAATCATTCGGTCGCCCGCGCCAGTCCCGACGCCAGCGCATCCTCTTCTACTGTCACTTCCCGGATCAATTGCTTGCGCGCCGAGATGAGGGCGGCTCGCTTCTTCGCTTGGCGAAGGTGTTGTACCGGTTTCCGTTTGATTGGTTTGAAGGATGGGCGATGAGCGCGTCGGATCGGGTTGTTGCGAACTCTAAGTTCTCCCGCGGGGTTGTGCGTGATGTCTTTGGCTCAGACCGGCTGGGTGATGTGGAGGTGGTTTATCCGTGTGTCGATATGGATGCTGGGGTATCGGTGCCTGAGAAAGTGAAGGAAGACCCTCTCTGGGGTGGGAAGAAGATCTTGCTCAGCATCAATCGCTTCGAGCGTAAGAAGGATATGGGGTTGGCAATTCGTGCTTATAATAGACTGGGAGCGGAGAAGAGGAAAGGGACGCGGCTGGTGATTGCTGGTAAGAAATTGTGCATGGGTTTCCGATTTCGATACATTCTAACATGGCATTTTGCAGGCGGTTACGATAATCGTGTCCACGAGAATGTTCACTACCATCAAGAGCTAGATGAGCTCGCGACCAGTCTCGGATTGAAGACCGCAACCTCCAAAACAGTGCTATCTGCGCTTTCAATCCCCGACAATATCGATGTTCTATTTCTTCTTTCTGTTCCCACTGCATTCAAAGATACCCTGTTGGCGCAATCAAAGCTCCTTCTCTACACACCAATCAACGAGCACTTTGGCATTGTACCTGTGGAAGCAATGCGCGTTGGCCTCCCAGTATTGGCATCTAATACTGGCGGTCCCCTGGAGACAATTGTCGAGGGTGAAACGGGCTGGCTCCGGGACGCCCATGCAGATGAAGAGTGGACTGCTGTGATGGACAAGGCACTTTACGGGCTGAGCCAAGAGGATCTTCAACGCATGGCTCTTGCTGGCAAGAACAGAGCGCAGCAGGAATTCTCACTCACAGCCATGGGAGACAGGCTAGAAGAAGAGATCTCCACCATGCTCAGCGCTGAAAGAAGACCATTCAATGGGTGGCAGCAGGTCTTTGTTATTCTCAGTCTTGTTGGGGCTGTTTTTGCATTGATGGCCGCAATTTTACTTCGAATGCTGTAATCCATATAGCTCATGCATTAAATAGGTGTACTTTACATTAATTTATTCTTTTTCAAGTTACACCAGTTTCTCATCTCTACTGAACATTGTTCCACCCTCTTTCCGATATCAGTCACATGACCTCGTGTTTTGTTCGCGGTGACGTCGCGTCGCCCCTCTATCAATCCATCTTTATCCTTACTTGCCGGCCCTAGTGGCATTGGGGTCTCTCAATATGCCAGAAATAATAGACCTCCTATCCTCCGATCCTCCTATCCCACCAAAGCCCCAACCGCCAAAGCCGCAACAGCCAGCCGAACTCCCATCGCGAGGTCCATCCCACCAGCTCATTCCGATTTCGTCAGACCCGTTCGATACATCTATTTTCGATTACGATGACGTTTTCGACAAGCCCGCCAAGAAACGGCGAGTGAGCGATGAAGACACTTCTCTGCGACAAAGCACCACGCCAAACGAACCTCGAGCTCCAGCTTCTGCGGCAGAGCCTTGGTTCTCGATCTCCGACGACGATTTTGACCTACCGCCAGTAAACGCTGCGGCGCAGAAGGAGCCATCCCAATCGCGCGTGGAAGAGTCGGATCCAATTGTCTTTACCTCTTCGGCCCCAGCTGCTTTGCCAAAGCCCCCGCGGAAATCGCAGCTTTCAACCCGGGATATCATTGCGCTTGATGGCGATGACGTATTAACGGACCCCATGCCTCCGCCCTCGAGTTTCCGAGGGCGTAGTGATATTGATGAATTCAGCGATCCGTTCGCGCTGCCGGAGTTTTCTGACCTATTGAAAAAGCCTACTGCCTCAACTCCTATTTTCTCTGAGTCGACTGCTCGTCTACTATCTCGCCTTAGCGAGGAACATACTTCAGGCCCCAAGACAAAGTCTGGTACTCGAAAACAGAAAGGCACCAGCTTGAAACCTGCGCCTGCGGAGGTGCTCTCCGACGACGACATTGATGAACCAGCAGCACCTCGGAAGACAACAAAGAAGACAACAAGCAAGCTTACCACTGCTGAAAAGGAAGCAAAGGCCAAAGCACGCGAAGAGGCAAAGCTACAGCGAGAACGAGAACGCCAGCTCGAGAAAGAGCGCAAGCTGAAACTCAAAGAAGAGAAAGCGAAAGAGAAACAACGGGCAGCCGATATCGCGAGCGTCAACAAGCTGAAAGTGAACAAAAAGGATTCAACACCAGAGATGATCATGGACATGTCTACATCTCTGGAAGACAGCAGCGTCGGCACTCAAACCGTCGAGTTCATGAAACGCCTCGGCGTCGAACATACATTCTTCACAAGCGCAATTCCAAACGTAGTAAAATGGCGTCGCAAAATGAACGCCACGTACAACAGAACCCTACGATACTGGGAACCCTGTCCACCCTTCATCCAAAAAGAAGACCACGTCCTGTGCCTATTACCCGCACAGCAATTCATCAACATGGTCACCCCACAAGACAACACAGAAAGAGAAACGCTAGAAATCCACGTCCTCCGAATAAAAAGCGCCTACCCAGATTGCAAACCCATCTACCTAATCGAAGGCCTGAATGCTTTAATGCGCAAAAACACAAACGCACGAAACAGAGCCTTCCAAGCCGAAGTCCTGCGCCAACTCGCCGAAACCACTACACCACCAGACGAAACAACAACCCGCAAACCCCGAAAAAAGAAAACACAAGACACAACACCCCTCGTCGACGACGAGACTGTCGAAGACGCTCTCCTCGAACTGCAAGTCACACACTCATGTCTCATCCACCACACGACAACGCCAGGTGACTCCGCAGAATGGATTAAGAATTTCACCGAGCATATCTCGACAGTCCCGTACCGTCGTGAACGACAGGAAGCCCACAATGCTGCATTCTGTATGGATACGGGACAAGTGAAGACCGGTATCGACAAGCAGGATACATTCATCAAGATGATTCAGGAAGTCAATCGCGTGACGGCTCCTATGGCATACGGAATTGCGGGACAATATCCCTGTGTTGCGGATTTGACCCGTGCAATGCGGATGAATGGCGCTATGATGCTAGAGGATATCAAGGTAGGTTGTCTTTCTTATGCTGTATTCTGGTTCTATCTTACGGCTCTGGATCTTCTTCTGAATCTCATGTGCTAACTGTTATAGAAATGCGCGAACAAAAATGGATCCTTGACGAATGCGCGTATTGGACCTGCTGCGAGTAAGCGGCTGTACAAAGTGTTCACTGGACTTGATCCGAGTTCAACGGACATTTAGGTTTGTTTTTGGTTATTGCCATCTTTAGCCTGGGATATTACACAGCGTCGACGCCTTGCATTGTGGATGTTGCATCCAATTTGGTGTTAGTTTATTTTTGGTTAATTGCTCAACTATTGGACTTCTAATATCTACCCTGTCTCTCTTTTTGGCTGGGAAATTGGATATTGCCCTCTAGAGATGTCCTGTTGGTTTGAACATTCCTATTAATTAGATGCCAGTTGGTATACGATAGTCCAAGGAGTATGCCACCTAAGAAAGCAGCGATTGCTTCTTCGTGCAAATATTGTATTTGAATATCAAAACGGAAATCCCCGAAATCAAAAATGCCTAGCTATATGCAAATGCCAAAAGTCCATGTATAGAACCCAATATTAACGCCCATATCAAACAGATATCAAACAGATTAGACATCCCAAAGCCGAACGCCAAAATCAAACCACACTAAACAACAACTCCCCTCTTCTTCCACCCCCTCCAAGCAGCGAACCAAGCCAAAACAGCAACCCAGACACTAACTGTGCAGCCAACAGCCCAGAAGCCATAGCATCGCCATCCATGGCACTGACGATCAGAAAAGCCACCATCGCCATGATCTATAGCATTCTGATAGGCGGCGGAGTAGACAACTCCCCACAGCGCGGCACCAGCCGCAGGCATCATGGCAACGATGCCCCAGTTCGTGGCAAAGTTCTCGACGCCCCAGACGACGGATATGATGATGGGAGTGAGGGAGAAAGCGCTTCCGTACCCGAAGCCTATTAGAGCGGTTGTTAAGTTGAAGATGCCTGGGTGCGCTAGTGGGAGGGGTGAGGCGAGGAGAAGATAGCCTAGGAAGAGGAGGAAGGCTGAGGGGATGAGGAAGGTCATGCGGGATAGAGTGAGACGTGAGGATGAAGACGCTGGGTGTGTTTGTCGAGATCCTTCGGTAAGTGAAGGGAAGAGATGTGTTGCTGGGGGTGCGAAGAAATCGGAGAGAGAGCCTGTTAGGAGGCGGGCAATGGTCGATGTTAGGGCTACGGTTGTGACATGGGTTGAGGGGGATCCGGCTGGGGGTGATGCGCCTGTGGGATATGATTGAGGTGTGAGGGTTGGGATAATTGTGCCCAGCTTTGTATGATAGGTTAGCTTATGGTGTGGAGTTGAGATTGTAGTTACTCACGTTGTTGATGTACGATTCGCCGGGGCCGGTGACCAAGAAGAAGCCTGCAGCCAGCCACCACATGGTGTTATCTTGTAGGAACACACGGGTTTCATAGTTGAGTAGCCAGTTCTTTTTCCGGCGCTCCTCTTCCTCACGTTCCTTCTCTAGCCTTTGCTGCTCGCGCTCTTCGTCGGACAGGGCTGACCCCTCTTCGTCGAATGCATCAGAGAACGTACCGTACTCAACCGCTTGCCTGATTTCATTCCGTGGCCGGAAGAAATCACTCTCCTCCAGTAGTCCGCTGCGTTCCAGTTCTTCAACCGTTTCATCAATATACTTATCATCATCCTCCACGATGCGCAATGCAAAGGTACCGATGACACCAATTCCAAGCAGCAGAAGCGCCAGAAAGACGAAGTATTTAAAAACATCAAGATCACCGTGACTCCCATCCTCGAGACGTTCATAGAACATATACACACCGAGCTGGCTCTGCCACATACCACTGAGGCCGAACGCCGCAATGGGAACAGCTAGCATGATCCCCTTGTGCTTTCCCCTGCCGAAGTTCTTGGCGCATGTTGCAACAGCTGCGAGATACATGCAGCTAGTCCCCATACCAATAGCGATAAACGCCACGATCATCACCCAGAAGGGCCACCCAGACCCGCCCGCCTCAGTAGTCGGGCCGCTCTTATACGTGAACGCCGCGAGGAGATACCCGATTCCAAATACCAGTCCGGAGAACATAGCTAGTGGAGACGGGCTGTACCGATCACACAAATAGCCGAACAAGGGGACGGGAAGGTACATTGCGATTTCAGCGGCGATAGAAACGGCATTGACCTGGAACTGCGAGTAATGGAGTCTAGTAAGGAACAGATGGCCATATAAAGAGAAAGCAGTGATACTGCCAGCTCCCAAGCTGCAAGACACGAACAGAAGTTAGCTTCCAGGGCTCCAAATGGGATCTTCTCAGTATGATAGCAAGGAGAAGGGGGTTCGTTACCATGTGACAACACCCCATGCAAAGCTAAGCACTCTAATAACCTCCTTCTGCATCTTCCGTCTGTCCCGCTCGACAAGCTCCTCGACGACATCGCTCAGTAGCCCATCATCACTCCGTAGACCTAGTCCGTCATTACCGGAGCTCCGTGAGTTTCGTGACCCAGGCCTTAACCGTGATGGCTCTGCGCTTCGGTCGGTTGTGTCATGTTCTGCATCGATATCCTTGAGGAGCGGGCGGTTCGCGTCGAAGTCCCGCTTATCGATTGTCATAGTGGTTGCCTTCTCCGCACCGGTTGCGCTAGGCTGTATCTGCTCTTTGCTGAGGGGAAGCGTAAGATAGGTTGGTCCAGATGGGTATGGAAGACGGGACGGCTATTGAGGTCGAACTATAGGGCGTTCACGATTTGGCAACCCTGAGATTCTGAGGACGATTGCCCAGGATCGTTCAAAGGTGGGGAACGAACGGTGTCAGCTGGGTGGATCCCGAGGTTGTGTTGTTCAATGCTACGTCATTGGAATTCGACTTCTGATGGAGAGTTATGTTCACTGCAACATTATTGAGGGATAAGATAATATTGTATGTCAGTTAAAAGTAGTCAAGGGAAGCTGAGGGGAAGAACTTCAAAGAGCGGAGAAAGTTGGAGTCATTCCACGTGACTCATTCCAGTCTATGTCGGATCACGTCATTTTACAAGGAATATATTGTGAAATAGTAGAAATCGAGGGAAATTGGCCATCTAGAGATAAGAAAAAGAATACTCATGTACAAGTAGGATCATGCAGACCGAAAAAAAAAGGATTTGGAGACATTGGGGGTATTATCAATATCAAAACAACTGAGAAAACTGATACACGCCCGAGAAAAGAACAGACAAAAGGCTTGAAGAAAAGCAATAACAAGGCAAAATAAGAACTTCAAACGACTCTAAATGCATCCAAGCGTTGACGGGGATCATAGAAGCACCCATTGAAGGGCTGGGTCGTTATTTCGTAATGTCGATCAGGCGAGATCAGGCACTGGTGCATATGAATGCTGGCGTTTCACAGTGGAAGGGTCTATCCTCCGAACGCCACGTATCGGCAGTGGGCCGAGATTTGAAAACCAAGAAAGCAAAAGAAAATGAAAAAAAAAGAACTAGAAACTGACTTCACCCGCGTCGGATTCCATCATAGTCTCATCCCAATACTGAGCAGAGGGCCTCTCACGAGCCGCGGGTTGAGAGCCCAGCGCGATGGCTTCACCTTCACCTCGTTCCACAAATTCATCCAGAGTAACCTCTTTCAGGATGCGCTGGAAATACATCCGGAGTGTGCGCAAGCCACGCAGATATCCACGATCAATATCGTGCGGGGTGTGAGGTGGACATGGCGTATCTGGAGGAAGTTCGTCCTCGCCAGTGACACAATTAGCGAAATCGACAATCTTCAGTTGAACGTTCATTCTGCTTTGGCCATCTTCGGAGGTTCCATGTTTGAGTGACGTGCGTTCGCCAGAACGAGGCGGTTCCTGCTGAGGTGGGGCTTGTGGTTCTCCGTCATAAAGAATCAAGAGACTACTAGCATAGAGCCGGTAGCTATCTAGCTGCCGAATCATGTGTTCTAATAGAGCTAATTTTTCCAAAATGACAGGGATCTTTTTGGCAACGCTGGCATAGCTGACACCGTCGTAAAGGAACCGAGTGAGTGCATCCTGGAACTCACGACCAGATTTCAAATCCCGTCCGAAATACTTGTCTTCAAAGATGTACTCCTGCTTCTTGACGTTCCAAGACTGCATGCCACAGAGCCGTACACCCAGCTGCTGGGAAGTAGTGGACTGGCATTTACGTCGCTGAGACTTCTTCTTCTTCTCATTCGCTTCGATACCATACTGTCTGGTGCCCATCTTCAAATCCAACACGCATGGTTTATTCATACCAGCTGTTAAATCCTCAAGGAGGAGGAAGAACTGCACTCTTTCGTCCTTCCTGAGTTGTGCCTCTTTAGGGTTGCTAGGTAAAACCGCGTTGAGAGGCTCTTTCGGTTTGAAACGAGTTGGATCAGAAGTTATGCTAGAAGGGAAAACTTCGGCTGCAGGGTGACCATTGGTCGAGTTGTTTTCTGAAACTGGTGAAGCTGAACGTTTAGCGGTGGAAGAAGTAGCCGACATTGGAGCGTCGGCTTCCATAGAGAAAATCTCATCCTCCTTGTCAGCGCCATAATCATCGTCATCGAAGAACATGAGCTCTCCTTGGTTGCGAGAGTCCATGCTGCCACGTCTCCGGAGGCCACTCCCAGAATGCCGCCGTCTTGTGTGAGAAGCACGAGAGAGCGAGCTTGCTCGGTTAGGCTCCTCCTCAGTCCGGATTTTCTCCAGGCGGTTCTGATTGGCATCTAGGGCAGTCGAGGCCGACGATGAAAGAGCAGGGCCTTCATTAGGGGGCACCTTTATGTCAATCGCTTCCGTCTTCAGAGCTTCGATTGGCCCAGGGGTTGGTCGTCGATTGCCGGCTGTGTTGTCTTCTGATAGGTTTCCTCGGCGGCGTGTGGTTGTGGGCATGTCGGAATGAGCTCTTGGCAGATGGACATGACCACGAGCATGCCGTCGATGATGATGAATGGCAGGAGGGCTGAATACCTCGCGAAGAACCTGCTCCTGAAGCTTGAGATTGACGGTTGTGGCGCCCCAGATCTTGGCCCGCTTGCTCAGAGCCGACGGGTCAGACTCTACTGACATACCCTCGAGGCCATCAACAGATCGAGCGCGATTTATCGAAGCATCTGCTGTGCGCGGTCGCTGCTGGCGGGTAAAAAGATCGGCAGGAATGATGTGGCGATTGTTCTCAAGAATGACCTTGGGGATCACTCCTGTGACTTGTGACTGGCTAACAATTCGCTGTGGCTCATGTGGCTCCGCTGCCTCGTGAAGCTGAGAGCTGAGAGCTGAAGTTCCATTGGCAGGTGTTGTCTCTTGAACTGCCTGGTCCTTTCGTTTAGATGTCTTCGAGAAGGTGACATTCAGCACTCCAATGTATCTGACCAGAATATTAATATTCCCGCTAATAACTGTCTGGTTTTCATGGAATAGATTATACATACTTTGGAAGAAACACCAGCATATCTGGGTGTCTCAGCTCAATGCGTTCGTAGAACTCATTCTCTCGGTTGTTCAGCTGCTTGCAGACAGCGCGTCTGGAAAATCGGAAAACAGTCGTGTGGCCGCCAACCTGATGTCGATAGGGCTTCAATTCCACGGCACCAAGAGGCCTCGGGGGCGGGGGTTTGGGGCGAGAGAGAAGCCGGGATTTCTGGGTCGGTGTGGCAGTGGGGGTTTCCGCCTCGTCAGTCAGATCATTTGCAGAGTGTATACTTTCATCCGCTGACGGTTCGGCTTCAGAATCGTATGTTGCATCATAGCTGCATTCAGAGATGGTACCCAAAGGCTTGTCTGGCAGAGTCTCTCGAGGAGAATGGATATCGCCATAAAGGATCTTACTTTCATTCTTAGATCGAAAGGATATATCCACATGGCTGATTTCCTTTTCGGGTGAATCGCTACGTTCTGGTACTAACATCAGCTCATGACCTTTCTCCGCGGCTGACAGCTGACCCGGATGTCCATCATGAGGCCTATCAGGAAATTGTTGCAGCGCATCAGCGCCATCAGGCACTGTCCGCTCGTGGGGGAAGTAAACCGCAGAAGAGATCTGCTCATTTTCCTCCTCCTCAACCCCAAACTGCCTTGATTCACAACGCTCTTCTTCCTCGAAAGAGTCAGTCGGGGATACCTCAAGATCAGGATCCTTCTGGAAGTAGTCGCGGGTGCGCTCTGAATATTGAGTTGGAATGCTTTTGGAGAAAGAAGATCCATGGCTACCGCCAGGTGTGAGATGGAAATTTCGGATCTCTTCCAGCAAGCTGCGAGGCAACGCTGTAGGGCGACGCTTGGAGGGCACATCGTCATGCATGGTCTGAGAGGACTCGTCCGGAGGTTGGAAAGACGGAGCATCGCCAAGTGCGGAGAGTGATATGCTTTTACGAAGCGAAGTTTCCTGCTCTGAACGGCGTGGTTCTTGTTCATGATCCATGGTGTGATCCCTCGACTCCAACGTCTCATCTTGTGATGGGCCGCGATCCTCCCGTCGTTTGCGATCCGGTGAAGAAGTGGTTGTGTTTTCTTTGAAGAGGCCCAGGTAGTGGCTGGACTTACGGCTGCGCACATTAGAAGTCGGCTCCGAATTGGGCAAATTGGCTTCAATTGAACTGTCAACCCGGCCACGACGACCTCTGCTGGGGCTTCGTTCGGGCGCAACAGGGGTATGGGGGGTTTCTTCTTTTGGACTGTAGGATAAGAGATCCTGACTGGCGTGAGAGCCCTGGCCAGAGGATAGGATGGTCAAAGAGTGAGATGTATGAGAGACATCATCTAGTGTTGACGGGAAGAGATTCCGTTCAGGTAAAGTGCCTTGAGGCCGACTGGTTTTCGTACCTGTGTGATCCAATGACACCTTGTACCGGTGAGATCCCAAATGAGCCTGCACGCCCGTCTCAACCTCGGTTTTCTTTGGGTCAGTCGGCGAGGTAGATGCGCGCAGGAGAGATAAACGAGGGATATCGGTGGATGAAAATAGGGCAGAGGAACGCAATGGAGAGTTTCTGTGGACGTCAACTTCCATGTGGGAAGGGTCGACGCTCAAACGGTGGGGAGAGACCTTGGAGAATGCACTTGGAGACACGGATGCATCATCGAGGCTAGGGATCAAGTTGACCTGACATTCATTGCCCAAGGCCTTTTCGGGGGGTAATTGTGGGGTATTTGCGACGCTATCTGAAGGGAGGTAATGAGTAGCAAAGATGCTGTCACGTTCTGACAGCTGAGGCCTGTAGACAATATCCGGTTGGGCCGTATTCTCCGGAGGTGTGGTGGCGGTCCTTTTTAGAGAAGATAATCGAGTGGGTTGAGACCAGGAATGGGTGGGAGATTCAGCGCGCGATGGTGATAATACCTCCCTAGGTCCTTGAGACAGATTATCCCGGAAGTGACGTGGGGTACCGTAGATATCCTTGGAGCAATCATGTTGGGCAGGTGTAGCAGGTGTCACCAAGGGGTTAGGCAAGGTATCTTCGGGAACGGACGGCGAGTTGGACATGAGGAGGACATTGGTCAAGTACAGGTTGGGATGGTATGAAGCGGAAACCGGAGTGGTTAGGCGTAAAAAAAAAAAGCAAGGATTAGAAAGGCTAAGAGGAAAGATGTCAGATTCTATGGAAGGAAAAGAGTTATGCACGTTGTTGAAGAGAGAGATCTTACAGGCTGAAAAAAGCCGCAGAAAGGGGAATGAGAAGAGTCAAGGGAATTGATGAACTTGGAAGTTTGAGAGAGAGGGCCTTGGATCGTCACCGCCCTTGAGTGGATCCAATTCCAAATTAGGAAAAAAATAGAAAGATAAAGAAGATGAAATGTGATAGAGAGAATAAGAGGGAGAGGATAAGGAGAGAATAAGAAAGAGAATAGAAAGAGAATAAGAAATATCAAGTTATGAAAAAGGGAATAAAAAAAGAATAAGAAATCGGGGAGTTTGCCTCTTTCTGAGAATACCAGCTACAAGTACTTACTCTTTGGTGCAACGTCTGACAGATTCTCTTCTTTTCTGGCTAGGGGTTTCCTGTATATAAGAAGAAGAAGATACATAGATTATAGGAATATATACAATAGGCATTAGATAGATCTTCACAATACATATATCCAATAACATTTTCGGCTTGTCCTATCTTTATTTTGATTCACCAATCATCGCTCTCAATGCATAGTGTGCAGGCGTGGCGATCGCTAATAGGTGATCAATTTGTTTGTTCAAATATCTTCAGGTTTCAAATGAACCTCCTAGGTTCCTCGGGAACCATTAAGCCTCAACTAAAATCAAGGCTTATATCCCGGAGCCTTTGTCCCCATAAAAGAGAATTAGAAACTGTTGCAGATTAAATTGTCCCCACTTTTTGAAAAGCCACGAAAGTGACCTTATCTGGAGAAGAACATTTAGATATAATTGGCCAAGACCAAGCGGTAAAGAATAAATCCAAACTGCTGCCTGTTTAGTGACTACATGACTTCGTAGTATGTTCCTACATACTTGATTTCCTCGGCGTCTTGGCTTTCCCCTTTTTAGTGCTCAGGTCTTGCCGCCTTTTGCTCAGTAGATTTGAGCACGCTTTGGTAATCCACCGAACGCTGGGCATTACATAAACCCTCTGGTCCGGCCAGGTGCACTCTGTCGTCATCTGAGCACTGCCAAGTCTGGGGTGACCTCGGGAGCGGCCTACGCTATATCAAATACATACACGTCCTATCACGTGCAACCCTCGACTTTTAGACACCTGTCCTATCACAAAGAGCTTGGTGTTTGAATATACGATCTGGTCTATTGGCACATATTATTATTATTACCTTCGTGCTTGCTTTATTTGTTTCTTTGCTGAAGAGTGCTACTAGTCCTAATCGGAAAAGGGGTTGTTTGCTACGCGGATTAACCTACATAGTAGACCTTGCCACTAGCGGCTGCCGATATATCTAATCATGAACCCAAACTCCAAAGATCCTTCTTACATCTCTTCAACCATGGCAGATCATACTACAGATGGATCACCGGACCCCGACCAAGCAAGTATTATCTGGATCAAGCTCCAAGTTCCTAAAGACCTGAAGCTAGATATCCAATTGGTTGGATTGTTTAGCCACTAATTCGGGCCCCTGGACACGATGACTCTGGATGGACAATTAGGGGCCATAGGCTGGAGGGAAGAGTTCATTGGTTTCAAGCCAATCACTTAAGTTTGAATATCTCGTTTTTTTTGTGGTTTGAAATTCTATATTGGAGATTGGAGGTTTTAAGGCCAATTGTATTGTGGTGCCTTGGTGCCTCAGACATAGAATTCACTAATATATCAGGTGATCAACTCTAACCAGTTTAGCTAGTAGGTCTGAGCCCAGGCTGAAATTTACTGAGCCTGACTTTTAGCTCATCAAAGCGGCATTTGGAATGGGAAACCCCAGGTCAACGCGTAGGTACTCCATATTAAAATGAACCATATATAATCCACATTCCAGATATCTCATCTAATTAGCTTATCTTCCACAAAAGCTTGGGCATAATATATTTCCTAAAACCAACAGCGCTTAAGATGTGATGTGATGAGATAGATGTGAAGTGATTGGGAGCCGAGCGGGTCATCAACCAACCAGAAGCCTTAACGATGTGAAGAAGATGCATTAGGGGGAAAGACCAGGATTTGATCTCAGCCATCTTCCCTGTAAAAAAGGACAAGAAAGAGGAGATTATGGGAGATCCCCGAGCTCTGACTTTTGTACTCCCCGCTTACAAGGTTCCTATGGTCTTCCACTCTTTAGTTTAATGTCGGCGTCCTTCCACCATGCGCCTTCGTTCACACGGGCTATGCAGTAGCTTAGACTGTCGATCAGTTCTGTTACTTCCTATGTTAATCCCCGTGGGAAAGCCGTTGAGTCGCATGTCCAGGTTCTCACTTTGTTCAACTGTCTGCTTTGGTCCAAACCAACTATTTCACTATTCAAGAAATCTCGATCAGAATTATATCCATTTACTTGGTAGCAGATTCAGCAAACATACTCTAACTTAAAAATGAGTCGCTTGAACTTGGATACCACAGTCGGAGGAAATCGCCAGAGATATTCATTTATGGAAACACCACTTGAGATGCACCCATCCTACAAACGGGATATATCATCCCCTCCCCCGGCGGACCCGAGTGCTCCCCCGCAGCATCTTGCAATGGAAGAATCACCAAAGCAGCGACAGCGAGCATGGTCATACGCACCAAGTGAGAAAGAAGAGAAATTTCAGAATCAGGGAATAATCCCAGACTATAACAACTGCCCACCCATCGAACAGCACCCAGCCAATTATGCACCTTTGGTTCAAAACCACCACCACCACCACCACCACCAGCAGCAGCAGCAGCAGCAGCAGCAGCAGCAGCAGCAACAACAGCAACAGCAACAACAACAGCAACAGCAGCAACAGCAGCAACAGCAGCAACAGCAGCAACAGCAAGCCCAAGCCCAATATAACACTGCAATGTCTCCTCAGACATACGCAATTGCGCCCGAGCAGCCGCATGCTCAACTTTATACCCAATCCTATACCCAGTCGTATACAAACATAGCCGACCAACAAAGTCGCACGATGACCCCTCAAACGTACGCAACTCAGCCGCATGCCAATATACCAGAGCAACAGCAGCATCACTGGCACCAACAGATTGGCATGACCATATCTCCTCAGTATGCGAATGTACCTCAACAACAACAGCACAGCACCCCAATGTCTCCTCGCCCATATACGGCTCATCCATATGCAACACAACCATACACCCACACCCAGGACCAGCAGCGCGACATCGAAACAACCCAATACGCCTCGTACCCTGAAACTCCCAGCTCACCACCCCCGGTCTCGCCAGGCCCACTACCCCAGAAAGTGAACCCCGAAGCCCCAGAGCGAAGCGAAACCATATCCATTGTCCCAGACGAGAATCCCCTCCAGTCACCCAAATCCCCGTACTTCCCTCCACCCACCAGAGCGACAACATCACACGCTCCCCAGCCAGACGAGCTGAGCACATACCACCAGCCTGGCCAATCCATGCATCCAAATCAGGAGGTAAAGGGCGGAGGCTGGAGCAATGGACTGTGCGAATTTTCAAATCTCGGAATCTGCTGTCTGGGAATGCTATGCCCGTGCATTCTGTATGGGAGAACACAACACAGACTGTCGATGAAATCAAGAAAGGAGGACCCGACCAACATGCTCGGTTATGAGACGTGCAATGGATCGTGCACGGGGATGGGGTTGTTATGTGGATGTCAATGTAAGTCTAAGTCCGATTTCAATTCCATTTCCAGTTCCAAGCTTGGGTGGGATGTCCAACGCCGCCGAGCAGTCAGGAAAAATATATAAACACCATTCTAACCTGCATAGGGTTGCTCGCCACTATCCAACACACCAGAACGAGAAAGGCATATGGCATTCAGGGTAGTATTGGGTCGGACTGTGTGAGAGCTACCTGCTGTACATGCTGCACATTGATTCAGGATGAGAAGGAGATCCAGAAGCGTGAGGAGTACCGTTCTGGCGCGGCTAGGGAACGCGGTGCGACTCTGCTCTCGCCGTATACTACCCCCGGGCCGATGTCGTATAGCCCGCCACCGAGACGATGAGCTATGTTTAGCAGTGGAGTAGGATTGGATGGCATGGAGTCTTGTATAAATGTATATACTTTATGCATTGCGATGTTATAGCGTTTTTCATTCATATGTTTTTGGTTGATTTGGGACAGTTGTAGGGACTTCGGAGTACTCGGTAGTTTGGCTATCAGCTTTGGTTATCTACAGGTGGGATCTTTGACGCTAGCAGGTTTAACCTCACGTTTGTGCTCTGTTTAATTGAATAATTAGTTTGCTATGTTTGCACCCAAAGTACCTGATATATCTCTTCCCCTTCCCCCACGTCCCTCTCTCTGCACTCCCCTCACTCCGCGCTTTTCTCTCACCCCTCTCTAGCAATCCACCTAATTTGAAAATGATAGAACATTTAGAAGGATAAAGCGCCTTCTCGCCAATGCCACTATCAGTAGAAAATCTTCGATATAGCGGGCGTTGCACGCCTACTTTAGCCTGGTAACTCAACTACAATGCCTGCTATATCAAAGAACTTTTGCTGGTAGTGTTGTTGATGAGAAGGCGCTTTATTCTCATAAACAATTGTGTTCAGATGCAACTACGACCACGCTGACGCGAATGGTAAAAGCTTCGGAAGCAGGTCGGTAAAGGAGAATAATAGATGTCTCGTGTTTCTCAGGAGTCAGACAGATTAGGTTTCTTTGATTCTTTTTTGCCTTTGTCATTCTTTACCTACGTCAAGGAAGCTATGATCGCTTTGTTAGCTCTTTCCCTATCAGGAGGAAAGGAAAAAGAAGTCAAACAGTGACATTGTCATTTGTCTCAATTCAATAACCCTAGCCAACTGACCAAGACCTTGACTCAGTGCAAATTAAAGCCTTTGGTATATTTTTTTCTCCACTGAGATGTCTTTCATGCATAGCTGGGTAAAAATAAATATTATAAATACCTCCTATCCCAGCAAACTTCCGAATAAATCAATCAAGAAACCGACATCCAAACATCTAGGAACAAGGTCCGCAGTCTCTTTCTTTCAGCCCAATCGATGCCGGATTGTTAACAAGAAGATCTAGGTAAGTCCAAATTCCACCATCTGCTTGACCCCCCCGAGCTATTTCCTAGCAAAGGATGTCTAACCGCGAGCCAGCACGCTCGTGGCAGCAAAATTTCCAAAAGGAGTGCCGCACCTTTGTAAAACAGGCAGAAGCCCTAGCTGCTTACGCTAGGAAATACCCGGACGATGATGAGTATGAGCACACCGACAATATTTGTGAAGGACTTGTACGACTATGGTCTCAATTAGCGTACGTAAAAGACACCGGACTTGATATGGTTGCGGAAACGCCCAAATGTTCTCTCGTTCGCGAGGATCGCCAATATTGGTTCATTCGGGCTTTGGCAGACCAGACGGAGTTTGAAGATGAGTGCGATGAAATAGAGGCCCGTCTGGATGGACTGTTAGCGAAGGTTGGACAGCATGAGTTAGAGAACCTTTGGGTTGCTGGGGTTCTTGAGTCAACATCTTTGCATATCCAGGGAAGATTTCATGTATAGATGGTTTGTCAATGGAACTAAATATTCTTTTGGTATCTGGATCTATTGACAAGCTTGTAATCATATATAGAGCAAGAGCAACGGTTTGCCCAGAGTGTAAAGAGACAGGGAACAATAATGATCGGCTACTTGTACAACCTCTATCCTTGATGACAATTGGATTGAAATCAAAATGACCTGGCTTAGGAGGATAAGAAGGAAAATATATTTGAGATAATATCTATAAGCTGCTTTTTTTTAACTGTTTTAGCTAGTCCGTAAAAGTCGTCGGGGCATTAGGCAAGGGTTTGTAAGTCGAGCATTCATTGTTACATCACTGTAGAAATTCTTATTTCAACCCTTCATGTAGTACACTCGACAGAATTCAAATTCCCGATCACATCACATCATTACAATCATGGCTAGTGCTTCAAGTGCCAAACCATACCCAAGTTGCCTCCTATGCGGAGTGGAGGTTCCGTCAATGATTCACTCCCAAAACATGAACCCGCCCCGTTCTGCTATTCTGTTCGGAGCAAATCAGCGTACGCACTACAGAATAACCAGACCAGGCCATGTGGTAATCCCATCAAAGGAAGTAGAAGAGGCGGAGCTCCCAGATCTTCCCAAAATATGGTCCTGCATGTGTCGAGCAAGTGAGTTTACAAAGGGTCAAGGTCCAATCTACTCTAACTTGTACAGTAATGAAAGGACCAACTACCAAGTACTTTTTGAGTGGTATTACTGCAATTAGAACAGATAACACCCGTCCCTACATCGTCCCAAAAAGCCGTAGTATGGCGCGAATCGGTGGGAGAACACCTCATCTGCAACACGATGACACCTTCGTTCAATTCTACGCAGCATCCATCAGAAGACAACCAAGTGAATTCAAAGACGAACACATCGGATTTGTTGTCCATGCCCACTGCTGGGCCCTTCTTAACCACATCATACCAACAACTTTGGTCGAAAGGAAATTGGAGAAATTCATTTGTGCTGCCCAAAAATACTGGCGTGGCCATGAATTATGGGGAAGCAATGATGCCATGCTTAAACTTGTCAAGCAATATGACTTGCTACATACTAATTCAGAGCTGAAATCCCCGTTTAAGTATGGCTGCGATATCTATAAGAATCCTCTTATAGTTCCCGAGATTCAAAAAGCAATTGATAGGGCAAGGAAAACCGGGAAGAAATATACAAAGCCCCATACTAATTACAGTCACGTACCGTTGGATATTGCGATCCTGATCGCTGAGCGGATTTGTCCTATTGACTATACACTGGATGATGTGAAGAATACACGAAATATGCTTTCTGCGTGGCAGTGGACATTGCCTGACGGGTTTTGGAAGAGGCGACTAAAAGAGGAGGATATACTATTCGAATTGGAGTCACTTAAGGAGGAGGACTACTCAATCGATTGGCAAAGTCTACGGCTTGATTTGATGGCTCTTGTTTCTGATCGGAATTGGTATAAATTAAGCGGCTTGGCGAATCGTGTGCGAGTACTTAGCTTTATGACTGCTATCACGTCGGATTTTCTGGAAATGACCTAAGGATAAGAAAGTCGCTATAGAAGGACTTGCTATATAGCTTGAGGTAGTCCACTATGTGCCGAGTACTACATGTAGTAAGGCGCCGCCAAGATAGCTAAATTGCATCCCCGCGCCCTAATCCACATGACCGGAGCGCATGGACGCTCCGATAAAGGCGTCCTCCAAGAGTTTCTCCTATTTTTTTTTTTAGCTTTTGCCTAAATATATTCTCTTGAAATTTACCTATGAGCTTCACAATCCGCACTAGAAACCCAAAATGCGCGGTCTCGACGAAAGCACAGATGTCTTTTTACGTACTGGCCAGAAAGCCCAAGAACAAGTGCGACATGCATGGGCTGGTTTTATAAATTTTGCAGCGCGTGATAATGTTCTCGAGGTTGCGTTGGGTTTGATGTTGGTTCTCCTTGCATAACCTAACTACCAAGTATCCGAGAATCCTGCTAATACATAGTATCTTGATACGTAAAGTATAGCTAATGCATTCACCAAAGTCGTGACATCTTTCGTATCAGATCTGGTTTTACCAATTGTGTCTCTACTGCCATTTCTGAACCGGAACATGGATGAGAAATTCGCTGTCCTCTCGAAGGGTCCGAATTTTGACCAGCAGAATGGATATAATACCCTCTACCAAGCGAGAGAAGATGGAGCATTGGTCCTAGCTTACGGGTATGTGGATCTACCCCAGCTAGTCGTGGAAGGTCCCTGTCAGAGTCACTCTTAACAAATATTTATGCAGGTTGTTTATTGAGACAGTTCTCAATTTCATGGGTGTCAGCCTGACTCTGTACGCAGTCGGACATTTGTACATGCTTATCTTTCATGACAAGATCATTAAGCGTACTGTTAGGTGTCCATACTGCAAGCAGTATATCGGTGAATCGGTAAGGATTTAGTCTATATGTGCTTTTCTTGGCTAATTGTTCAAAGGCGCTGCGCTGCCGTCATTGCTCAACATGGCAAGATGGACGAGAAGATCTGCCTCGGAGTGGTAAAAGTTCTCGCCAGGAACTGGCTGATGGCGAGCCGAGTTTTGTTGGGGAAGCGATACCAGATGACGGCGGAATTCTGTGAAGTATACTCGGTGATATGAAGGTGGTTTCTTTTGAATTTTTGCAGCTGAGAGACTTTGATTATGCACGAATGGATAATTTCTAGGTTTCTTCTATTGTTGAGAGGGCCATGAAAAAGACAGCTCCAGATGAAATGGGATTTTAATTAATGTACAAGAAGCTCTATAATATAGACGCCAAGAATGCCACATCTTATCTGAATGTCTATACCTTATATCGACCACCATTCGAATTCACTCATATCCTGTACCGGCAATTTATGTTGTTGGCGACGCCACGTCCTGCGGGCATGCTTGACGAACTTTTCTGCGGGAGACCAGGCTGCCTCCCAGGTCGGGGCCTGTCTTAGAGTAGTTTTAGACTGGAGAATGCCAAAGCGGAAATCAAGGGGGTTTTCACTGCCTGCAGGAGACGGTAGTCGCATGTAGTAGCGGACACTGTCAGGAATCTCCTCAGCCACATGGCTAACCATGATCAAGGCTTGGTCTGGTGTAAGACCAGTGTACCGGAAGTTATCATTTTGAAGACGGGCACTGAATCTAGCAACACGGCCTCTGGTTCGCGGTCGCTCACCGGTTTCCAAGAAGTTCAAGCACATATCACGCTGTGCTGAGGACATGCCCGAGAAAGCTTCGTCGAGGATAACAATATCCGGCCTAGCGACGAGGGCCCGAAGGAAAAGCACAATCCGTTGTTGTGCCGGGGTGAGCTCACCGAACAGAATTTCATCCGCGTACCCAACAACGTGATCCAATGGGAAGTATGGTTCGACGTTGAACTGCTTCTTCAAGGTCGGGAGATGGGCAGTGGATATATCTGGCACCTCGCTCGTGAGGTGATTTGGATCGAGCAGAGGTTTGAACAATTTCAAGACTATAGATATGTCATGATCTCGTTCAACATTCAGCTTCGGCTTTGATAGGAAGGTCTCAGCGAAGGCGCTCTCAAGTGCCCCACGGATACTTAATTGTCGCGGGAAAAACGCATGGATCTCCGGTGACGAGTGTCCAATGCGGGACTGCAGTTCAAATATTGAAATTCCTGGTTTGCCAGGCTCCGGAAGCCTGGATCGTCCAAAAAGCTTGACAGGCTGCCCATACGTCTGCGGATGGTCGGATGTGATCATTGATAGCAATGTTGTTTTGCCTGACCCATTAGGGCCAATAATAGCCCAGCGTTGCCCCCGACGAACTCGCCAGTGCAGGCCGTGCTTCTTTTCACCATTCACATTTTGTTCCCAATCACCAAGTACCGGCTTGTCCCCATACTGGACAAAAACCCCTTCCATATCAATGACTGGCTCACCACCCAATGGCGCCTGGACTTCTATGGACTTTATTTCATGCGTATGTGCCACCAAATCCTCAAGGAGTTCTTCGTCCAAGATACCCGCCTTCAAGTCTGCTTTACACTTATTCAATATTTCCGTTTGCTGTTCAGGTAGAGAGTTCGGTTTAGTCTTTTTTACAACGTGGCTCCAGATATTGAGCGAGTCTTCGACAGCGGGCCTCGGCCCTTGCAGCAGAACCTGATGGGAATTGCCCACAACCATAATGTGCGTGATCCAGTCCGGCACCTTGTCCTGGGGCCGTAGAGCCAGGATGAGCCGCGGAGCGTGTTTCTGCGCTAGGCTATGAAGAAGTTGAGAGATCTTTCTCGCTGCCACCGGGTCCAATCCCACTAAATAGAGGTTAGAATGTCAAGATTGTCAAATGTGAATTCAAAACACTCACTGAATGGCTCATCAAGAAGTAATAGCTCTGGTTTGCTTAGTATCGCCTTTGCAATTCGTGCTCGACGTGTTTGACCATTGCTCAGATTCGCAACTGGCAAGGAGAGCAGGTTCGTTAGCTCAAGACTACTGGCGGTCTTCATGAGAAAATCGTCATCGTGTAGCGTGCCTTCCTCCTCTCCTTCGATCGGGTTTAGGGAAGTCTGGCCACGCAAGAATTGTAGCAGGGTCCAGTCGGTTTCCTCCCGAAGACTCTCATAGCGAGCACTGAGGTATGCGCCACGGATTCCCCCAATGGCCCCCGAGCCCTCACCACTGAATCCAACATATTGGATCGCATTTTCAGGTAAACGCAATCGTGGGTTCTTCTTCGCGATCTCGTCTGTGAGGAGGTATGGGTATGAACGTGCGCTGGGCGGGATACAGACGTATTGGCCGCGGAGGATATGGAGGAGGTCACTTCGGCCAGACGGACCAATAATAGCCCAGTGTTGCAGAGGGGATGTAGTGACTGCGTCGCGAGTTTGAAGAGCGGGTAGAGTGAAATTCAGGTTCGGGAAGAGAGGTGGATTGGACAAGTCTTCGGCGGTTGGGTATTTATTGTAAAAAGTTCCACCTTGTATATCAATGAATGGGACTCCGGACTTGAAGCGGGTTGGGCGATAAGATGCAAGCCCCAATACCCTGGGCCGCAACTTAATTCGGAGTAGCATCTTCGCCTGGCAAAGTCGCAAACGTTCTGGAGATTGGAGATTCGGGGTAGGCATTTTATAGGTCACGTGACTACATCGGGCGATTCTAGATTGCCATGCAGGGGCTGTTCTAAATCTTTTGCCTCATTCTACTATTGAAGTCAACATCAATGGTGATTTGAATTTGCTATCATCTACTCTGGAACACACGGTAGATGAAATTATTTTCACAGATATATTATTGTAATTCTACTATCAACTGAATATACATTCAGAGAACACTATCAGGAGCCCAGCCATCGGGGTTTCCATGCATATACAATTCCACATCATGATCGGGGTCCGTAGTATTCTCCTCCAAGTCCTGGCCCTCCATGAAGTCAAGGATCTGTTGGCGCACCCAAGCTGCCCTGTTGCGGGTTCTGAAGGTAAGGACTTGTCTTCTATGGTTCGGAGCCTAGAATGAAACCCATCCTTCTTCACACGCCTTACGATCGGCGACAACAACCATGATAGACTGGAATTTTTTCAACTTATCTGGTTTATTGTACCACTCTGTAGGCCAATCGCGAGACGACAGACCACCAAGCATATCTGGTCTGTGCATCAACGCCGTGATCATGTACGATGGTATAGAGCGTGGCGTCCTGTAGGCGATTCCATCCACGAAATCGGGATCCGTATCTCCATTAGGAATAGTGATACTACCAGGATCAAACTCCTCTTTATTCTCAAAGATACACTCTTTCTCCAGACACGCGTCGTTTGTATCTCCGTCGCCAAATACAACCGTACGGAGACGATTGTATGCAGCATCGGTAGCAACCTGGCTTGTCTGATCATCTTTCTGCCCGTACCATGTTCGAATTCAGTGTAGTCTTGTTGTTGACCATCTACGGCACGATCTTCATCTGACATAAAATCTTGAGGCACATGTGGAGGGATTTCCTTGGGAAACAGATCATCGCCGTCTGGGTATGTCCATTTCTCTATTAGCGTTAATCCATAGCTAAGAAAGAGTCTAAAAGGTTACAATGCGGGCACTTTTGCCGAGCCGAATGCAAGACTCAACAAGGGCACGAAATTGTTGGGTTCTTGTAAGGGGAGAATTGGGATCCCATTTTTCCTATTTTAATACTAGCATCCTATATCGGGTCTGTTGCTCTGAAAATTTTACCTTAACATGATAATCGAAAGGCAGGTGGCCGAATGGCATCATGTCGATTTCTTGAAGCATTATGCACCAGAAATAGGAGTATCGTGAAAATTAGGGGCTATCAAAAAGTGTTAGTAAAGTGAGCAGCTCACTAACTGAGCCCGGACTACGCAGCGGTATAGACTCCAGGGGTCAAAGCCCCATTTCTAGGCAATATCGATGCCCTGATGCCTCCTTTCCTGAAATAAGACCAGCGGAATAATTAAGATACTTGAATTACTATTTCAAGATAGTCGGCCGTATAAGTAGTCTTGTGATACCTTTTTAGTAATCTTTCCAGAGGTCTTTCCAGTAATTTCTTGGTAGTCTCCTCAGACATTATTCTGTTTGTATATACCAGTTTTATAGGTCGACGGTAGAAAAAAGACAGAAAAAGGCTTTGAGTATGTTCTCTCGATATGTTTTCACGTGACTGTTCCGATTCGATTCCGATCCCGGATAGCTTTTTCGGATCTGCACGCGGGGGAGATGTTTCATGCAAGTATTCGTGATAATTCGAAGCTCAAGTATTGGACAGACATACATGGAAGGCAACATATATTTACATATGTATTTTATATTTCTCGCAAAGTAGTAAATACCTTTAATATACGTAAGTTGACAACGGAGCGGGTGTGGCCACCCGATGCCAAATTCTCGGGACCCGATCTGAGGTTGTCATGGATATAATATCCGACCTTCTCCTACTTCAGATCATTTCCCCTCTAATATTCCAATTGCGGACTTTCACGTGGCACCCCGCGTTGATCCAATTTCAAAGACCTCACTTCCATTCAACCAACGTTCAAGTGCAAGTATCTACCGAGAAAGAATCAACATAACCGTCATCATGTACTCTCCAGTCCTTGAGACCAGTCGCATCTTCTCTGAGCTGTGCGAGCAGTCAGAACGCTTCAATTTGCCACCTGACGTCCTCGCCAATAAAGACCGCGTCTCGTTCTCTACCAGTCATAATGAAATCTATTTTCCCATTCCCTTCAAGGAGACTGAGACCCTCGCTGCTCTGAAGGGAATTGAAGGTTCCGTGGCTGCTGCCATTGCGGATCTACGCTTCGGTGCTGGTGAGGAACCTCGCGGCATTCAAGTCAGTCTCGAAGCTGCCACTGCCTTCGGATGTCAAGCGTACATGGCAAAGGTGGATGGTCTGTCGAAATTGGACCCCGCTGTGAAATCGAAGTTGAAGAGTATGTAATTCTGTGCAGACTGGTCATGCAGTGGCAAGACAATACTGACTGTAACAGACACGGATTTGCTGGCTGCCCAATCCAACGGCTACCGACGCATGTCGGCAAATCTTTACAGGACTAAGAATCCAGATGAATACTTCCATATTCATGGATCACTGGAGGCTACGACAACCCTAAACATGATTGGGCTGGAGGGCCAACGACCAGACCTGACCGACTATGAAGAAATCATCAAGGTGATCGAGAGTAAGGTACAGCAATACACAGTTGCTGAGCTTGAAGAGATGAACAAGGAGAGACGCCAGGCTGGTGTGACTGCCTACAAACATGAAGACTTCATCAAGACTCCCCATGTAAGTTTTACACGGTCTAATATCTAACTGCAACAAGCAAGCTAACCATTTCAAAGGGAAAACTTAACGTCCAAGAGCCCGCATGGAAAGTCAGCAAATTGCCTGGTGATCTTCCTCCAACTCCTTTCCCAGCTAGACGTAACGGCAGCAAGAAGATCCTCGAGGGCATCAAGGTGCTGGAGATGTGCCGTATCATCGCCGGCCCAACCGTTACCCGTATCCTAGCCGAGTATGGTGCCGATGTGTTGAAGATAACCAGCCCGAGTCTTTCCGATGTTCCGTTTTTCCAAGTCGATGGTAACATGGGCAAGCATGCAGCAGATCTTGATCTAAAGAGCGAGGCTGGACGCAAGGAGTTTGAGAAGCTCCTGGATGATGTGGATGTCATCGTAGATGGCTACCGTCCCGGAGCACTGGATAAGCTTGGCTACGGAGCAGAGGCCATGGCTGCGTTGGCAAAGAAGCGTGGCAAAGGCATCGTTTACGTGAATGAGAACTGCTTCGGATACGAAGGCGAGTGGGCTAACCGCGCTGGATGGCAGCAAATCGCAGACTGCGTAAGTTATCAGATCCAATACTCATGCAACTGATTACAACTGACCCCAAGTATAGGTTACTGGAATCGCCTGGGCCCAAGGACAGTTCATGGGCCTTTCAACCCCCGTTGTACCCCCTTTCCCCATCTCCGACTACGGCACAGGCTGCATGGGCGCCATTGCCGCACTGACTGGTCTCTACCACCGCGCGAAGACTGGCGGCTCATACCACGGCAAAGCCTCGCTGATGCACTACGACCTTCTACTCTTTGCAATGGGCCAATATCCGGCTGATATACAAGAGGAGCTTCGTAAGGTTCAGCCGCCTGAGTTCTTCAAGTTGCGCCACTGCGACAGCGTTGACCGTATCTCGTCGACTGTGCTGAAGGGCATGCAGGAACGGTTCCCACACTTGTACAAGCCTGCCGGTTCTGAGTCGGAAGGCCGCAAGCCTTTGACAGAACTATGGTCATCGCGCGCATATGGAGCGGATATCGAGATTGTGAAGCCAGTCGCAGTTATTGGCGGAGTGGATAATCAGTTCGTGCGATCTAGTCGTCCGAATGGATTTGACCGGGCTTCGTGGGAGGAGTTTAACGTCGAGGAGACAGATGCAAGGAAATGTTAGGGGAGTTCTGTCTTTACTCCTTCTTGATCTTGAATGTCAGGAATGCAATTCAGGTAGATTGCAAATGAACACCAGTTTGAAAGTTACATGTTAAGGTGGTAAAAGCATAGGCTACACAGGCGGTTCTTCTATAAAGCACCGATATCTCTTAATAGTAGGAATGAGATAATTGCTATTATGCCTATACCATATTTAAGTACCTTCTGCAAGGACACTACATTTGAAAAGGCATGTGAAAAAATTATACAAAATCCTGTACTAGCTTTAGTAGGGATAAGACACCGTAGGATGGCTTGAAAGAGTGTATATAAAAGAAGTGGATCTCTCATAGCTTCATAATTACCTCATTTGGCTGAGAAGGATCCAGCCAATCAGGTCACTAAAATTAAAAAAAAGGAACCTTGGAACCTTGGAAGTTACCTATGTAAGGACCAGGCATGTCAGAGTCCCCCAGCCCCGTAGCTTAGCGGAAAGAGCTCTGGTACATTTCAACAGAGTACCTACATGCTTTTAGGACAAGCTTGCGGTCAAAGCAGGGAGCTGTCATTTGTTCTCGGTAGAATCATTTCAGCACCAGAATTCGCATTAACAGAGACCCTCTCATAGTGGTAAAGCACATACGACTGAACTCTGTGTGCGCGGGGGACCATTCTTTTTTCATTAAAGAACTTTCCTTCATACATATGTAGGAATTAAGAATGAGGTTCACGATCTGTTGAAAACTCCCAGTCACCTGACCATCTGACACCAAAACTTCCATGTGGGACCCGAAAAGGGGGGAACACGGGACCCTCCTATGGTCCCACAGGGTGTGGGTATTTTTCCCTGCTATTCGAGGGCTCTTTTCTCCTATCTCCTAGTCTTTGCGATTTTAAAATGGTCAACCTTCGTACTTTAACCTCTCTCACATATTTGACGCAAGTTGCTTTTCTAGGCAATGCGCAAAAGCTTAGGGACATTGTTCCTAAGCGTGAGGTTCTCTACGTTGGCGGACAATACACGAACATCACGGTAAGCCCCGATCTCCACTAGCTGTACGCGTATCTAAGAATCGAAGGACAATGCAACCAATTCGACTTCAATGGCTATGATAGGGCAAATTTACGTCGAGAAGCTTTCCCCTAGGCCAAACCCAGCGAACCCACCACTTCCCATTATCTTCATTGCAGGCGCCGCTCAGACAGGTACCAATTTCCTTGATACTCCAGACGGACGGCCAGGATGGGCTTCCTATTTTATCTCCAAGGGTCACACGGTCTACCTCTCAGACCAGCCTGCACGCGGCCGCTCCTCTTGGTTTCCCGGACAGGGAAATATCGGTAACATTGGCTCCCCCAATGGTGTCTCTGATCTTTTTACCGACGTAGCAAATAACGACAACCAATGGCCACAGGCAAAGCTTCATACACAATGGCCCGGCACTGGTCGCATGGGCGACTCAACTTTCGACGCTTTCTACAGGAGCCAGATGCAGTTCCAGATCGACAGCTTTATAAGCGAAGAACAAAATGCGCAGGCATATTCAGCTCTAGTCGACCTCGTGGGCGACTGTTACATCATCGGTCACTCGCAGGCGGGTGCATACGGTATCTTCAACCAAACACGATGACTCGCTAGGTAGTTAACGATTGAATAGCCTGGAGGGTCGGAGACATGCGCCCAGACCTAGTCAAGGGTATTGTCCAGCTCGAGCCGTCTGGTCCACCGTTCACGTTCCGCCCTCCGATTGGAAACGGCCCAGCTTTGCCTTTTGGTCTCACTGAACTCGAAATCGGATACGAGCCGTCTGCAGGCAAGAATGCCGAAAATATTGAGACAACAATCGAGCCAGCAATCGACGCCGACCATAACGAGTGCATTATGCAGAAGTCCCCAGCGAAGCAGTTGACGAATTTGGGCAAAATCCCAGAACTTGTTGTTACTGGCGAAGCATCGTTCCATGCGCCATACGATTACTGCACCGTCAAGTATCTGAAGCAAGCTGGCGTCGACGTTGAATACGCGGATCTAGGCAAGGAGGGCATTCATGGTAATGGCCACATGTTCTTCATGGAGAAGAACAGCCTTGAGATTGCAGACCGGGTGTACCAGTGGCTGCAAAAGCATTAATCAATGGATTATTGGTTTTTGCGTCAGTTCGCAAAGCTCGACTCGTCATGTCTGAGCCTATCTATGAGGCTAAGTAAGTGACTAGAAACCCTTCCGACTCTACCACACGACTTGTGAAACAGACAGGGAAGGAGGGCCCTGCAACTGACAGCAATCTGGCAGCACAGGGATGAATATATTCAAGGTTCATACTTAGTCCAAAGTCATCGCGATCTCAAATGATACGAGTGTATAAAATTTTGGTTCACCCTTGCTTGGTTTGCTCTCGAACTTTCAGCACTATCCCATGGCATATATTCTATTTCAATAAGAGAGCATTGTGCTCTTTTTAAATAGCGTTTCAATGCGCAGTGCGACATGACCTGTCTTAGTACATACAACGCGCACTTAGCACGGACCCCCGCCACAGCCACCCAGACAGTCCGGATCAAGCCAACTTCTACGTAACAGAGCATGAAGCGGTGAATGTTGTGCTTTAGACCTTTGATAGAAGGGTGGTTATGCAGGATATGACTTCGTATGTAGGTAATGGATCTAGTGAAAGGTTAGTAATGACTTAGGGTTTTTGATGGAGTGGGGAAATTACCACCATAGAGACACCTGTGGACAGTTAGGAGTACTACAACTTGTCAGATCCCCTATCATTTTGCCAGGGTTCTTCTACAAACAGATACTACGTACATTATCCAACGCAACACAGAACTCGACTGGAGATTTCAAGACGTAAATTTCCTTCAGAAATCGTACTTTTTCACGATGTGCTGAACCAGAGGTTCGGGTTAAAACTAACTACATATAGAAAAGATAGTCAACTATTGAACTATCATCCCAATAGAATAAGTCGATGACAAGTCCAGACTTCTATAAATGATCAGATGCCAAGGCACTAACCCCACCACAGTTGCTTCCCCAAAACAGGATTGACCCCGTTTTTTTCGTAAATTCCGCTTTTTTCTACTTTGACAACATATCGAGAGTGTGTAACTTCACATGTGGAAGTGACCAGCTATAGGACAGCTGGCCCACTTAACAATGGGTCAGCCAAGTGATGAGAAAGAGAGAATCCGTGATTTATCCAAGTTTGTTGTTCCCCCCACGATCGCGATCGCCACTAATCCCGGATCTTAGATATTATTGTACCTTTGATCAACCATCCCCAAGCTCCGAAGTGAATGAGATTCCACCGGAAATACATTTCCCTCGTCTTTCAAACGACACCACCTTGACCGCCCTGACCCAATTGGGTGTCTATCGCTTTGGATGCAATCGGTCCTTTGTGTCAATCATCGATGGAGAAAGTCAACATGTCATTGCAGAGGCAACCGCCTCGATCTCTCTTCGAAACGAAGATCTTCATAGTCCGGACGATGGCATATTTCTAGGTGTCACTACACTTGACCTGGAATGGGGAGTGTGTCCTCACGCCATTCGACTTTTCACTGGACAGGACCCTTCCCAGATACTAGACACGGAGAACATAACGGCCAACCAGACGCGTAACATCATTCGCGATTTTACCAAAGAGGACTTCTACAAAGATCGCCCCTATGTGCTGAACTGGCCTTTCTTTCGATTCTACGCCGAGGTACCATTGTACAGTCCTTCGGGGTTCGTACTAGGTTCGTATTGTGTGGTGGACAACAAGCCACGAACGAACTTTGGAGATGAGGATGTGGCTGCTCTTCGGGAGATAGCCGACTCAATTTCAAACCACCTTGAAAATGCGCGGATCGTTCAATATCATCGTCGGTCAGAGAACTTGGTCAAAGGGTTGACAAACTTCGTCAAAAGTCATGCGAAATTTGATCCTATTGGCTCCTCTACTCAAGGACAGATGGAATTATTTGCAAATAAGCTCAAGTCTGAAGATTTGGGGCAAGTAGTCAGCGCACAGGATGTGGGTGCGGGTGGGACGCTCGAATCTTTACCCACAGAAAAGGATATTGGTGTCTATTCATCTCTTGATGAAATCTCCTCTACGACTCTTAATGGAAGAGAAGTGTCGTTATTTTCTCTAAACATGCCTTCCGCGTCGGACTACACACTACCATCATCGCTTTCTCGAACCTCAGACCGAGTGGAACCAGTTTCCTCCTCCGTAGAAGGAACACCGGAATCATTAGGGCCAGAAAATGTGCCCATCACTGAGCGTATAGCTGCCGTCTTTACCCGTGCTAGTCTCTCGCTGGAAGAATCATTGGATTTGGACGGCGTGGTTTTTCTCGATGCCCACCGAAATGACCCGCAATTGTTAGTCACTATTTCTTTGGATGATTAACAGTTTCTAACTCTATTTTAGCGACATTTCTGAGCGGCATGATGATTGGGATTCCTTGGGGAATTTTTTTTCAGGCTCTAGCCCTTCGAGTCTCCCTAATGCGAATCCGCTCAAAGATGCAGAAAACTACTGTGGCTCCTTGGGCCAGGCTATAAGCTGCAGGTCAGCTAAGAGCAAAATTGACTCAAACTGCCAGGTTAAAGTGACTGAAGAGTTGTTGCATTCGTTGATCACACACTTTCCAGACGGCCACATCTTCAACATAGACAGCAGGAGTAATATGGACAGTCTAGTGGACTCTGCAAGTGACCATTCGGAGATTTCTGCTTCCAATGTTGAAATTGTTCGGCAAATATCTCATCGTCTCGCTCATCAACTCCCCGAAGCCAAGTGTGTGCTTTTCTACCCTCTCTGGGATTGGAACAAATCGCGATGGCTTGCAGGTACACTGGCATGGGTAAACGGAAGCCATCGCCCTTTGGGTAGAGAAGATCTGCACTACTTTAAAGTTTTCGGAGATTCTATGATTTCCGAAGTATCTCGGATACACTGGATTGCCAGTGAGAACTCGAAATTTGACTTTGTCACTTCTATAAGTCATGAGCTTCGATCACCACTACACGGGATCCTCGCCAGCGCGGAGCTGCTACATGATGTTCAACTCCAGGCTGCGCACCGTGATATGGTTAATATGATCTCAACATCAGGTCTGACCTTGCTGGACACAATAGATCACCTGTAGGCTTTTTTCACACCCCTCCGGTGAGACCTTTACTGACATATACCAGGCTGGATTACTGTAAAATTAACAACTTGGCAACCACACAGAGTCTCAGCGTGACCGACACGGAAGATTCTTCAACAACCCTAGTCTCCGACTTCAGTCTCGATTCCTTGGTTGAAGAAGTCGCAGTGATACTTCATACCGGCCGGAAGGCACCCGGGCCTATCTCCTCCCTTGCAAGTAAACCAGCTACTGAAACTCCGTCCTCTCAACCCATCTCTCCTGTTACTGGACATCGAGATGAATTGTCAGTGGTAGTAAACATCGAGCATTCCACCTCCTGGAATATCCGATCGGTCGCTGGTGCCTGGAGAAGGATAGTCATGAATCTTCTCGGCAACGCAATGAAATGGACGCAGACTGGCCTCATCGAGGTATCACTATTACAAGCCACCGCTCAAACTGAAGCAGAACCTCGCCTGGTTCATCTCCGCATCACAGACACCGGCCAAGGAATTTCACAGGATTTTCTTAGAAACTCGGCATTTTTGCCTTTCGCCCAGGAAGACTCCCTGTCAGATGGTGTTGGGCTTGGACTCAGCGTCGTGCATAAGCTAGTGACTTTCCTGGGTGGCCATCTGAAAATGAAGAGCGACAGCGGTGTTGGTACCCAGGTCGATGTCTACATCCCCACACAACACCTCAAGGACCATGTCCCTGCCAAGTTATTCGATGATGCCTCCTCGCTAGAAATTCAAAGACACGAGAACTCTTTGAAGGCATGTCTCGTTGGGTTCAACGGCTGTCCTGACTTGACGGAGACGCCCACTGGTATTCTGAGCACCGATGCGAAACGGATGCTTTCTATTCAGAGCACTCTCGCCAATGTTTTGAGGAAGCAAGTTGGATGGCATATCGCGCTGGCAGACTCACTTGAGCAGGGCGAGGGTGATATTGCGGTCATTGAGGAGGCAAAATTAAACGCCATATTCAATGACCAATCCCCGTCTACTTTGAATGCTGGCCGTCATTTCAAATTCTTCATTATCTTAGGCAGCACGACGTCCTCACCAACATACCCCTTTCCTTTGAATGCCGTCCTGATGTCACAGCCGTAAGTCTAGAGTTCGCCCCCTTCTACAAATACTTTAGCTGATTTTCTATGCAGATATGGACCTCAGAGAATCCGTGAAACTGCTCAAAGAATCATGGATATGTATAAGTCACAGGATGAAATCAGTGCCCTTGATGCTCCATTTGCCGTTCCACCAACAAGCCATGAACTTCCTCCGTCAAACCCCAACCCGTCAGACGTATCGGAAATATCGAATTGTCTTTTAGAGCAACTACCGGTTGAATTGATCCGCTCGGCTCCTCTTATCGCTGGCTCGCCAAGCTCGAATAGTCAAATGACCAATATGCATGTTCTCATCGTGGATGACAATGACATCAATCTCAAGGTAAGTTATCTCACTGCAAACCCGGTTACGCAAAGGTCGTCCTCACTTGCTCGTACATCGACCCTCTCATTTCATTCCATGAACAGACTTACAATCATGAACAGATTTTGGCTACATTCATGCGAAAGCTTGGCTGTAGTTACGACACAGCTTCTAATGGACTGATTGCATTGGAACAGGTTGAATCTTCAAGTCGAAGATATGACTTGATATTGATGGGTTAGTCTACAAGCCGAACATCCTCCGAAAATTACTAACTGGTTTCTTAATCTAGATCTATCAATGCCAGTAATGGACGGACTAGTTTCAACTAGCAAGATCCGACAAAACGAAAACGACCGTGGTCTCCAACCAGCCCGCATCATGGCGGTTACAGGCGTCGCTTCAGATACCATGCAACAGGCGGCGGTGACTGCTGGCGTTGATGACTATTTAGTCAAACCTCTCTCCCTCCGTAAGCTGAAGAAGCTCATGGAACCTATACCCTAACCGAGTGCCATCTGTAAATAGAACAGTTACATCCGCTGACTTCGGAGAGCTGTTCAAAAGTTTGCGTTCAGCGTTTGTCTTGCGTGATACCATAGCATAATCCCCAGAGCAACGGACCGCTCTACAAGACTCACCGTTAACGAAATATACAATCATGTACATAGTCCCATCCATTGACATCATAAACCAAATGTCACTATTCCCCTTTTATCCAGGACCAAACCCCCAAAACACTTGTATACACCTTAACTGCTGTCTCTTTGATCCACCACGACCCCGTCAATTCGACCTCAAATCCCCTCCCACCAAGCGACCCCCGGGGCGCGCCCGCCCCGGGACACCCACGCCCCTACACCACAACGACCAGAGCCTGACAATGCAACATCCCGCAAACCCACGCATAACCAGTCGCCAGACAGGGATTCACCACCAAACCTGCAAGCGAATCTCATCACACGGAAACCCCAGATACGCACATGCAACCTCGGACCACCTCTAAGCAAGACACCATGAAACCAATATACGCATACCCAGTCTCGGACCTCGTCCTACCCACCCCTCCGAAGACCCAGCCACGATTTGAACATCGGCTAGAGTTGCCAGCTCAACACGCACATACACTAGGAGATACACCAGGTGAGATAGAGGAGATTATGCGGACGCCTAGCCGTTACAAGACCGGCTAGATGCGAGTCAGATTAGCGTGCTTATGCGGACGCGCCGTTGTGAGACTGGCGAGTCATGATGCCTGTCTAGAGTTCTTGGCGTTTTGGTTTCATGGGTCCGTGAGGAGACCGGGGTGTGCGTTTGTCTACATATTAATGTCTTATTACGGGATATGATAATTTTGTGCTGAGTACAAGATAGGTGGGGTTTGGGGAGGGGTTTCGACATGGGTATGATGTACGTGCTAGTTTTGGCTGTGCGTTCGGATATTGGGGCGTTTGGTGTAACGTTAGACTTGGGCTGGATACTTGTTCTTGATTGGAATTTGAATTGGATTTGGAGTTCGATTATGTATAATTTTGGTGTGGTGAAGATATATATATTGACCTACACTATGGGATTCGGTAGTTACCGGATTGGGAAATGTCCGAACTACATAATATCGATGGCTATAATGGACAATACAAAGATATATATGCAACGATATGCATGAAATTCAACCTACACTCAAGTATATCAAATCACTGAGAGAAAACAAGAACAAAGTAAATCTAATCTGCTTGACATATGTAAGTTCTACAATGCAGATCACCACTTTAATTGGCCATACAGGTGGAGAAAAGAGGATGTATTTGGAATTGTACTAGATATAGTCATGAAGTTTGTCATTGCATTATATAAAGGTACTAAAGGAGTAATCTAACGGATACTAGCAGGGTCATAGCGCGATATTCCAAATCCCCCTAGAGAGTGCTGACATATTTACAAACAAGGTTCCCCCCTGAGAGAGAGAGTCTTGCAAATCAACATCCCTTGGAAAATATCATCAAAAAAAAACAATGAACCACCAAACGCCAGCCGAACAGGATATATGGCAAGATGCTCAAAAGATGCCTCCTAAATGAGAAAAAGAACAAGGGACCGAAGCTAACAAGGGTATGTACGGTCAAAGCAGAATTGCAAATTAGGAATCAAAAATGGGGCCAAAAGCCGGGGTCCCTCTCGCTTCAAGCTCATAGACGATTCGCGTCGTCAGCACAGGGTTACTGATCACGCATACCGCTTCAGCTTTGAAGTCCTTGATTTGCTGCAGGATGATAGGAACCATGTCCATACGCCCACACTTGTCGGTGTCAAGGATGATGGGCGCTGAATCCATCTTATGCACTAGGTGCATCACCCCGTCACCGTAGGTTCGTCGGGGGGCACGAGTTTGCCAGAGCACTCGCAGAGCGGGTCTGTTATCATCACCGAGGAATGACAGACAAGGACCAATGCCGGATCCGGTAGTAACGACTATGACTCTCTTGAAAACGCGCATGGCATATGCAAAGCCATAGATTAACACGCCACGTTTCCAGAGGTGAGTAGGAGAGTTTTGGATCGTTGCTGCAGTCCAGTCACCAGCCTTGGACACCAAGCAAGAGAAACTTGGGTTGCCGTGCACACCTGCGGGGGTCGGGTCTGGGAAAGTGGCGAAACTATGCCAGTCGTGGAGCGGGTGCTTGGCGAGTTGGATGCCCTTTCCGAAGGTGGTAATAGCATGGTCGAAATGCAGACGAGTGGCGTGGGTCGAGAGTGGCTCGGCCCGCACCGCGACCTTACGGAGAAATAGCCAAGGCTGGATAATGGCCGCTACCGTGAAAATCAGGAACCAGAATGCTGGTAGTTCGATGAGGAATGTTCCAAGTGATATTCCCTGTGCCTTGCTCGCGCCTCGAGAGAAGACCAGCAACAGAGCGACGAATAAGGCCACGAGAAGCCACCCCGAGAAACGGTGGGTCAATTCGAAATAATCATGTCGTTTCATCCGGAAGGCGGGGTGGGCCACCACGATGATTGCGAGCAACAGGAGCAAGATGACATAAGCTAGCGCAACTGGTGCGGTTGAAATGCCCATATCCGAAGCATCCGCTGACGGGCTCCAATATTGGTGAGATAACACGCCCACGAATCCCATGTACCACACCAGGGATGCGACTCCACAGCCGCTATGAACACCACCATAGTGGTAGACCTTGGCGGCGATGCGACGGAGGGGAAGGGGCGCTGAGCGCGGCAGGGAACAGACTACCACGAAGATGGCATTGACCACCAGTGGCTGGCGGGCTAGTCCGCAAGCGAGCAAATTGGCCGCGGTTGCATTGACCAGGGCCAGCAGTTTTTGCTCAGTGCTCATGACGTACACGAACATTGCAACGTTGGCGGAGAATACTAGCGTGAACAGACGTCGGTACAATGTGAGAATGGCATATCGGGTGGATGCAAACAACTTGGGCTTGCGTTGAGTGGGTGTCTGTGCCTCGACATCGATCTCCTTTGAGAGGTCGAGGTGCAAGGATTCAGATTCCTTGGAAAAGGACTTTTCATTTTTTTCTCCGGTAAGAGTGGCCTCGCTAATAGCTGGTGTGTGGCGTGTGACCACCTTGGGAGGCATTGTGATGGGGGTTTTCTCTGACATAACTATGATGAGTCCTCACTCATATAAAAACGTTCAAAAGGTGACCAGAAGATATGATGGACTCAGGCCAGGGATTTCCTTGAAGAAGAAAGAAAAAAAAGTTGACAATCCAACCAGGGCGAGTCTTCTATTTTTGAAGTGAATCATTGTCAAGCAGTTTTTTTTTTTCTTTCCTCCACCGAACCCACCAAGATCAGCCTCACATACATCCCATCTGCATTGACTCGCTTCTTCTTCCCAATCGAGTTCTCGTCTTTCCTTTTCGGGCATCACCGGGCATCACCGCGAACGGTGACGCTTCTCCCAGCTTCTCGGTACTATTCGCCCTCCAGATTTTTTTTTCCTGTCCCTTTTGAGTTTGGCTCTGAAAATCAGGCTTGCATTGCATATGATCCTATTTTTTTTTTTTTTTTCTATTTCTTTTTCTTATTTTCCTTTTACAGGTATGACACTATCACATGGAGGTCCAGACCACTAGTGCATAATGTCTTCCTTGCCAATCAGCTCTCAGAGAACCATCCTATTCCCTTGCTTTCAGCTTCTTCATGTTCCTTCGGGGAAGTATTTTATGCCCCGAATCCTGTAGCCTGTCAAACTTTGTCTGGAAACTCTTTTCGACTGAAAAAAGTGACCTGGGGAACAAAGAATTCAACTAACTTTGATATCTCCACACGGAGTAGTCGAGGCGAGTTCCGAACAATGAGCCCAATCCATTCTGGTCAGGGTATGCTTGACTAGTCCTGAAGGGGGATGCAAGCGCCGTATATGATAGGGCCAGTGCACCTGATCATACGGTCAAGCAAAGCTCAATAAAGACGATCTGCAGCCGAGGTGGCCAGTCCATTTCGGCTACGCCATTAACAATGCCAATGTGGATCTATGGAAGTGTGGCGGAATCGTGCCATGAGTTAATGCAATAACCCGCGCGGATGGCAGACGAGTTCATGTTTGTTGGGATTTTCCTTTTTTTTTTTTTTTGCTTTTTTTTTTGCTTTTTTTTCCGTCTTTTGTCAATGCGCGGTCGATCAGGATGCAGCTGAACATATCCGTACTATCTAATTCCCAGCCCCTCTTTTTCAATTCCAAGATAGTTACGCTGATCTCCCACCACCGAGGTACTGGGATGCATACATATCTTGGGAAGTGGAGAGTTGATCTTTCGTTAGTTAATCTGGGATCTCTATCCGGGAGGGGAAGTTCAGATTCCGACTCCACAGTTTCTCCACTACACATCAGCTGCATGCTTTGGGCATCCACTGGGATATTGCATCTTCATGAAACGACAGGGAATAACAGGAGAAGACGACCACGTAGCATATGTGTTTTAGGAACAAAGAGGATAAGCGGGATATCGGACCTCGGGACCGTCTGAGTGGTTTCAAGCTCGTGGTATGACAATTTTTTTTATATATATATATATTTCTCCAAGAATGGAAATAGAGTTTAGAAGCAAAGATCTCACGATCCGGTCGATCTTCTACTTCCAAACTATATCTCTTAAGCAAGGTCATTCGGGAATCAAAAGATCCCGATCTGTGTGGCTCAGCCTTGGGCTATTGAATTGGTTATAATTGTATTGGTTTATTTTAATTTATTTAAATTGAAACCCGCCACAATGGATAACGCTAGGACTTTTAGTGTCAAGAACATGTTTGGTGGAGCCCGATGTATGTACGGGATGTAGGAAGTACCTATTCATACTTGCGAGTAACTTCATGTTTTTTGCTATGACATTTATTTTTTTTTACTTTTACCCTTACTCTTGACTTTGAGTTCAGCTGTTCTCAGCTCCTTGTTTTTGAGTCTTTACATGTTTAACGTATATCATTACATAATCGAGTGTATTCCAAATCCTGTAAGTGGAACAGCCCATGTCAAACTAAAATCAAATAGCTATACATTTATACCTATATAATCCCCCCCTCAAATCATGGACTATTTGCTTTGGACTTTCACTTATATATCTATTCCTTCTCCTTCTCCTTCTCCTTCTACTCCTTCTTCTACTACTTCATCTCTTTAACTCTTTTAACTCTTTAATGGATTGGAATATGTCTTCCAACATGCTTTCCCAGGAAGTCTACTCGGACTTGCTGAGCTTCACATTTGATGGTCCAAAGCCTTACAACCAAAATCAACCATTGTTTATTGATGCCGAGGATCCTTCTCGATCATTCACAGCGGCACAATTCAGACAACTAGTCCGAACCCTGATCGCTGGTTTCAAAGCCCACAATGTCCAGCCAGGAGATTGTGTCTTACTACATTTGGGAAATAGCGTGAGTGAAAGAAAAAAAAAAATCCAAAGAATATCCTTGAAATCAGAAATCCAATGATTGGACCGAAGATTCTGGGAAAATAGAAACAAAGCTGACTTGGGCCGCAATGAAACAGATACTATATCCCGCACTGTTCTTCGGTATAATTGGCGCGGGTGGTGTCTACATGGGCTCCAACCCCCGAAGCCAACCCAAAGAACTCGATCACATTCTCAGTCTCGCCGAACCCAAATTGATTATCACCACGCGTGATGCCCTCCCCAATGTCCTCAACGCCTCTGCGGCCCGGGGTATGCACCCAGCCCAGGTCTGTCTCGTCGACGAGGGCGCTATCGACCACTGCGCCCAACTATTCCTATGGCATGAACTAGGATTTTCAGCAAGTCAATTCTTTGCAATGTGCGGTGACGAGACTCACAACAATTTCGCGAATCTCCTTTGCTATGGTGAAAGCGACTGGCTGAAATTCTCCGATCCTGTCATCGCACAGGCCACTCCTGCAGCCATGTACCCAACCAGCGGTACAGGGGGACTTCCCAAAGCAGCCATCCTGTCCCACTATGCACTTGTCTCACAGCACCGCACTATTTACTACGAAGTGCCTCATCCAGTCAGCCGGCTCATCTCGCTGCCCATGTTCCATCTATTTGGCGCGCTTTGGACACATCTCTTCCCTGTCCGATACGGACACCCGTTGTTCGTCCTACCACGCTTCGAGGTCAACGAGTTCTTGGCCGCTGTCCACAAGTACCAGATCTCAGAGACTTACCTCGTCCCGGCTATCATTCACTCCATCAATCAATCATCTGTTCCCATCGGTGATATGTTGTCATCGCTTCGCTATGTTGGTGTCGCTGGCGCTCCTATTGATGGCCACTCCATGAAACAGTTCCGCACATACATCAACCCTATGGGATATGCTTGCCAGATCTGGGGAATGACCGAGGTCGGTGTGACATTCCAGACTCGCTATGGCCAGCAGGGCGACCCAGCTAGTATTGGCACATGTATTGCCGAGTACGAGGCCCGCCTAGTGGATCAAGATGGCAAAATTGTGCAGGCTGATTGTTGCCCGGGTGAATTGTACGTTCGTGGACCGGGTCTTCTTACTGCATACAAAGGCCGCACAGATGCATTGGAGCCACATGGATGGTTCCGAACCGGTGATGTGGCATACGTCAAACAGGGCCAGTATTACATTGTTGGACGTACGAAGGAGCTCATCAAAGTCCGAGGGTAAGTTTTCAAGTCCCAGTTCCTTCCGAACAAAAATACTAATTATTCACAGATGGCAAGTCGCTCCAGCTGAAGTCGAAGGTGTCCTCCTCCAACACCCGGGAATCATGGATGCCGCCGTGATCGGCGTGAACAAGGATGGCGTGGGCGAAGTTCCACGCGCCTTCATCGTTCGCTCGCGTGACCCATCAGTGCGTCGCTTAACCGCCGAGCAGGTTTACAATTATGCACGCCAGCAGCTGGCGAAATACAAATCTCTCGATGGAGGTGTCGTATTCGTGGAAGAGATTCCACGCACTGCAAGTGGGAAGATCCAGCGTTTCAAGCTGTCACAGATGAACTCCTACCGTGAGATGGTGGCGTCCTTGCTATCCGGATTCGAAAGTGACGCCTCTGCTGCAGCCACCGCCACTCGACGAGGATTACCCGCCGCGGTTGACATGTCCCCTATCGGCGTCATCCCCGAAGGACGGGTGGCAGTCTAAAATAAGAAAGTGGGGCGCAGTACTTAATATGATCTACGGCGCATATGAGTTGTATTCCACTCATTTAGCGGTGAAGTTGTGCGGTGAAAAGACTGGAACGGCGTTTGGTTTATGGATGGGACATTTGGTTTTCACATTTATTTTGTTTTCTTTTTCGGGTGGTCATCTTTTTTTTTCCAACGAATTAGACAACCTCCTTATGATGGTTTCCCATGACTTTGTTATTTCTCAGCATCTTTGAATACTACATATATAATCTATCTTTTTGAAATTACTTTGAATCCATGTAAACATCAACAGTAAATATCTTAATATCTAGTAAACATAACTCATATTGGCTCCGTACGGAGTAGTGAAAGTAACACACTTGAATTGGGTAGTCTATACGAAGTAGTATCAAAGTACCACACCAAAAGTACCAGACCAAAAGGGAAATCCCCTAATCCAACGCCTCGTATTCAGACTCTAAAAAGCAAGAAAATCAACCCACACCGCCCATCCAAGTCCCACTTCCCTGTCCCAGCCCAAAACCCCGGTTCTCGATCTCGGAAACCGGCTGCATCTAGATGCAATATGATGTATACCAGGCAATTAATATAAAAGCCCCACAGCGATCCCGTTCGCATCATGCATATGCACTGGGATATGCGGAATCTGCGACGGAAGCTGAATCCGTGGAAAAAATCCACGAAGTGCATCCGCGCCAATAGTCGGGTTCTGCAGCGGGATCCCTGGAACCCATGGGACGTTCCGTTCCATGCAAGGGGAATCCTTGGTACTGGGGCGGGGATCGACGGAGCTAAAGAGGTTAATTATTGAACCCGATTAGGTTGATTAGCGCTTAGATTGTTTGGGCTTCGATTGGGTTGGTATATGTTTAGGTAGGTGTTTATCAGGCTGATGTTTACATAGTAGTAATAACTATATAGATAATTGTAATTGTATAACGATAGTATATGGTTCCTGTTGTAACTCTCTCTATTCCGGTATCCGGGCCGTGGTGACGGGTTCAAATCGATAGTTTCGGGATGTTACATCGGCCCGAGGGACTTTTGCTTTCTTTTCTCCGCTGTTTGCATTGGGTAGGGAGAAAATATCAAATAATACCTTGCATGAGGCGAAAACAAGGATGCATCCGAACGGAAACTGAGACATGTGACTCAGTAGAAATGGAATGTATCAAGTTGGGCGAATATCTTCCGACTCACGAGGGAATAAATAATTATTTTCTTCGTTGGGCGCAGGGCGCATTTGTACGTTATTTGTTGAGGTTGACATATGCATTGCAAAGCTCCGGTTGAAGACATGTCAAGTCCCAGCCTCAGCCTAGAATACTCTCGAAAAGAAAAAGAAAAAGAAAGAAAAAAAGTAAATCCAAGAAACATAAATTCAATACCCGTTCTATCCTATTCTATCCTTCTAGAATATACCGTGCATAAACCGATCACATCAAGGATAATCCTGCAAGCTCCTCAATCAGTCCCCGAGGGTGGTTGGTAGTTCTAGTTGAGTGTCTATAGAACTCCCAATTGCATCCACTGGCATCTGATTTCAACACGTAGACAGGAAAAGCGAAATTCCGCTCTCGCTCCTGCGGCGTACCGCGTGGATACGTGGAGATGTCTATCTGGATGAATGTGTTTCGTTGACCAGGATGTGCTTCCACGGCAAGGTCCCACCGTATGTTATTGCTGTCCCAGTCGGTGAGAAAAGGTCGTATAAAGACAAATGCCAAGGCGAGAGGACTGCCAGCACATCGAGACTGTGCAGGAATGATGACCATTAGGCGAAGTCTGCGTACGCTGAAAACTGTGTTGATGATTTCTTGTCTCAGGGCTGTCGCGTGGACTGGTGAGGTGTGGAGAAGGGGATCATTGTGGCGTTCGGACATTGGGACTAGAATGGAGGTGTAGGGATTTTCCTGGGCTGGAGAGGTCGACTTCTTATTTGATATTTAATTGTACTTTGGACAAGGGGCTTTGTGTATTCTGTCATTGTGTTGTGTCTCTCTAGGTTCGGTGCTATGTTGGATGTGGTTTCAAAGTTGAATCAATGTCTTTATATATGCTTTGTTATTCTACTAATTTGGATGGATTGGCGAGACCTATGCTGATTCATTTCTGATCCTTAAAGCGATTGTAATTCCTTCCCAATGCAATTTGATTTACATAGAACCATTCTTTATACTGTCCCAGCCTCAAACAATACCATAGCCCTTCCACCAAACACCCCAAACCAAAGGTCCCAATGCCCCAAGCACAGCCGGTCCAAATGATAACTCTAGAATACACCAAATCCAAATAGTCCCAACAGCAGGCGCCTTCTTCATAACCGCATAATATGGCTCTCCGTTCGTGATAGCGATAAGATGCGCACCTAGCACCGCAGCAACAGGAAGAAACACCAGAGTCCGTAGTGCAGGCGGGAAGATTAGCTGTCGTAGGAATGAAACGGTGAATTTGTCACTTGTAAATGGGAACAAAGAAATAGGAGCAGGCTCTGCCGCTCCATTCTTAGAGCGCTTTTTGAAGGAGATGATATGACCATGTGCCAGGTGAACGAATAAAGTGAGAAGAGGGAAAGCAGTTGTCACGGATTCTTTGAAGAGTTTTGGTAGATCCGTATTTTCGGCGTATTGGTGGGCTGCGAGGTAGCTCAGGGTGAGGTGGAGGGTTGTAAGAGGCAGGGAAAGGAGAATTGTGTCGAGGAATGGTGGGAGAAGTTTGTCGGGTTCAGAGTCGGATTCGGATTGCTTGACAGTGTTTTCATTTGTACCCTGACTATTTTTGGTCTTTTGCGGGCCACTTGATGAGAGATGGCTGCTGATGTCGCCGTCGGTGTCGACCAATTGCCCAGACGCATCAACTGTCACGAATCGGGTCCCCCCTGACTGTGATGGGATGCCCTGTCCTTCTACCGAAGGTGGAATTGATCCTCCCTTTTGTTGGAGGCCGCTTTGCCGCTCTGCGATGATATCATATAATGTGCGCTCGACGGTTGGTTGGTTTTTGGTCGGATCGTCGCGTGGGGGATGAGCCATTGTTATTTCAGGTTCGTTATTTTTAGAAGATCCAGCTGCCGCACGGCGCTGTTTGCGATTCCTTGTTTCCATCTCGCTCGGAATTGTTGGTGTGGAGGGACGATAAGTGAGTGGTGTGGGAAAAAAAAGTTAACAAACACTGACGTGGAGAAAATGAGGTTGACAGCTCGGCGATAAGCCCCATAGACCGGGTTTAAGGTGATTGCCAGTTGGCTCATAGATATTTAGAGATCTATATTTTTCAGGCTTTATATGAAAACAAACTTTTATAAATTCATACTGCTAATTCTCTGCCTTGACACATCCACTAAATACACGAGTTAATAACCCATTCAACCAGCTTGGTACATAGCTGGACCGGCAACCACATGCGGGTTGATCAAGCTCAGATTGAACGGGCTCACATATGGATCACTGTCTGTGATAGCAATAAAAATAGTACCATTGAAAGCTGGGACACCCTGGTACAGTTCCAAGTCGGGCTGGATAGTATATCCTCGAATGCCATCAGTGGTAGTGTTGGTAGTGTTGGTACCGTTGTTAGTACCATTAACAACATGCAGAGGCGTGTAAGTAATGTTCAGTTGCGACACCCAAAGGACATACTTCGCACTACCAGCTTCCGTCTCTGTCGTGGTGACATAGCTGTTATTGGGACCGATTTTCTTCCCAGGAAGATCCCACTGCAACAGCACCCGACGACCCGGTGCCGTGAGAGGTATTGGGCATGTTTTGCTCACAGGGACAGGGTAGCCGAGACCTGAAGTAGACGAATTGAATCTTCCAGATCCTTTCGGTGATTTGGGGATGCTGACACCTGGCCCGACAGTATTATTGTGTCCGGTAGTCTGATTGAACATGAATCCTGAAGTCTGATTGAACCCGGAAGTCTGATTCAGTCTTGAAATCTGATCGGCACTCGTAGAAAAGTTGTACCCAGAAGTCCTATTAAATCCGGAAGTCGCATTGAGCGCACTCGCAGTATAATTATACCCAAAAGTTCGGTTACTCGATGAAAAGTTGCGGGAAGGAGTCCCCAAAATCCACGGATCAGGCTCATTAACCACCATTAACGATGGGAAATTTTGCCAAATCAAGCGAGTCTGATTTTCAGGACAGGAGCTTATAAATGGTGCCATCAGTGTCCAAGCCCAGGACTGCGGTATTCCAGTTTCGAACCACTCGACCATCGGGAAGAGGCCCTCGAACTGGCGGAAGATCAATTGTTGTCGTGCTTCCGTAGTGACAGTCTGAGTCAAAAGAGTGGCTGCCTCGCGCGAGTCAAGATGAGCCAAGAACCCGTACACGCTGGCTTCGCCCCAGCGAGTAAGTTTCTGACAGAAGTCGACAAACTCCTTGACGTTTGTATAAGGGTAGATATAGCTGCACTTCTGTGGGGCGCGTGCTCCGAGGATGTTGCTGATCATAGTGGAGTGGCCTATCTCTTGCTCCGCCATGAATGCAATCAACTCGCGGTCTGAAGAAGTCATACCGGCGGCTCGGAAGGCTGAATCGTTGAAACGTCTTAGTCCGTCTTCGAATAGATCGAGCTCTATCCATTCTTGATATAGAGCAAGGGCCTGTTGGGAGTGGATTAGCTTCTAGACCACGACTGCTTTTGAATCTAGTGCGGATGCATACTAAAGACTCGTAGTCGAAATCGCTCTTCGTGTTGTAGATGGGTGTGCTTCCATTCGTCCCAACACCACCTGCTGGGACATGTGGAGCAGGCTCTGCCTGGTGAAGTTTCCCATCACTGGGATATGTTGTTGCTCCGGGTGCAACGCCTCCGCCAGAGATGCCCGTTCCGATGGAAGAAGCTGTCAGCGCACCTGTGGTAGTTGGAGTCCCAGTAAAGGGTGTGTGCGGGCTGGAGGTATTGTAAGTTTGAAGTGGCGGTGCTGTAGCTGACGCATTGAATTCATCTGAAGGCGTGTCAAGTGTTGTTGTCACAACCTTTTGGTGTTTCTTTGGAGAAGAAGCTGCAAAAGGTAGTGAGCTCAATAGGCTCAAGAGAATGATACCCTTCCAGATCATCTCTGCTCAAGGTCGAGATTTCTTTATATCAAGATGAAAGATGTCTCTTTATCTTTGTTAATCAAGGCATTGGGTTAGTTATACTATTCAAAAGTCTTCGGATAGGTACGGACCTTGTGTAAAGTACATATAGTATTACCTTAGCCAATATCAGCATATGAATGATCAATGAAATGCAAATCAGGGTCCTCGTAAGAAAATCGCACTGAAGACATCTTCATGTCTAAAATATGGGCTTGAACGGGGATGAATTCCGAACGGTGGAATTGCCACATGGTAATGTTAAGGTTCTTTGTAATTTTTAATGGCGACTTATCCTCGCCGAAGGGGCGTTCTACATACACTTGGCTCTAGTTGTAAGATACTGCAATTCGTAGTCAAGAGAACAGCGGGATGCTTCGGCAGCAGATGACGTCGAATTAGGCTTCCCCTGTCAACATTCCATGGACCTGAACAGACTAACATGCAATTCGAGATATCTTGGGGGATGGAAATTGAATCCGGCCGGACGCTGCCGGATATTTTGAAGGGAACAGGGGACTATGAGAAACTTAGTTGAACTATAGTAAAATATAGTCGAAGTTCTACAAAGTAGAAGTGGAATTACTCTACGGAATTGATATGCGATCTCATATGGATAGCCCTGAGGCTGTAATATCAAAATACCGAATGCCAGCATTAAACATCTTCCTATATAATCCCTAAACTTCACTGCGCCAGCCACCCTCACCCGAAAAGTAACCATAAGTGTCACAATGCGGTACATTGGCAGTGATCCTCACACCATTAGACCAAATAATCTCCATAGTAGAGCCCATAATAGTTGCGGTGAAAGGCTCCCGACTCTGTAGGGACTGACGGATCCTTTCGAGTTCTTTCCAAGGTATATTGACGACTGCAGGAGCCCGTTGAAATGGAGCCGCCGGTTGACCGTGAGAGTTCTTCTCAAATACCCATGGCTCGCCGTTAATCATGAATACACCGGCCAGAGAATTGCCATTCTGGCTTGTTAGAGATCCGTTCCATTGAGGCATGACTAGATAGTCAGCAAGCCACCCTGTAATTCTAGAAAAGGTGCTTACTATGCTTTTAGGGAGAGAGAAAATGGTAAAATGGTTGTGGGATACTATTTGCTTCTTTTGGCTGTGATTTATGTGTCAAGAAGAAGCAAATATAGGAATTTCCCCTGTGTCTCAGCCGTAGATACATAAATTTACCGCTTTGTTCGTAATTGATGCATCTAACCATTCGGAGGCCGATGGATGTTCCACGGCCCTTTCGACGATGCTTGACCGCTTGTTTTAATTTCATGCATGCTTGTAGATCGGAGTTCGTACATTGTAGTATTGTCTAGTAGTCTAGGTTAAAACTTGCAGCCTTTTTAACCGAGCGTAAAAGCAAAAGCAAGAGATTAAAACGGTCTGTTCAGAAGTACTTGGGTGTACTCCGTACAGGAATCTGACTTGTCTCAAGCTCGCGCAACTATGTTCCGCGTTCGAACAGATCTCGTATACAGAATATATGGAGTACGTGTTCTATGCTTAACACTATGTACTATCCCTGATCATATAAATAAAGGTGTTATATCGAGTTTACCGCACTCTCAAAGTGACTCTACTTCTCAATGCATCATATACCATATTGGGCATCCCGCAGCCATTATTATCATGCAGGCTAGACACCTGGCATAAGTCTATATAATGACCTAAAAGGAACGAATTGATCAGACCGCTAGTAATCTCACAAATCGGGTGCTTGAGTTACATTTTTATTTTCTCTCCAATGGTGACCCCTGTACTCCGTAGATCAGAAGGTCTATAACGGCTTAACAACGTCCATGCATTACTACATTACCGAGCAGGCAACACTTTTGTTGCTAACCTATGAAAACCTACATGATATGCCCGACAGTTAGCTTCGAGTATTTTAAAAGAATATGGAGTGGCCTAGCCTAAGTATTTATGTCACCGCTACTCAGGAATCACAGTTCTACAGTTCTTTATGAGAAATGCAATATTATTAACAGTCCAAATATACTGAGGTACAGCAAGACATTCCAAGATGAAGATTTGTCAGATGAAACATACCTAGAATGTCGGCGTTATTCCGCGATTCGGCATCGTCGCCGATCTAAAGAGGGGCAGTGGGGGGTTGAGTGGGCTCATTCCTATATACCACATCCCTCCCAGTTCTCTTTCTCTTCATCAACCCTTAGATTACCCTAACAATGGCCAATCTCCAAGCATCAAACCTATTCTCAGTCAAGGACCGGGTGGTCGTGATCACCGGAGGCGGAAGTGGTAAGAAATTCAATCTCAGATAGTACATGAACATATTAGCTAATAAACTACAGGTCTCGGCCGTATCATGACCAAGGCCCTGGACGCCAATGAAGTCTCCAAGATCTTCATCCTAGGCCGCCGCGAGGAAGCGCTCCAAGAAACCGCCTCACAAACCATAAACGGCACAGTCATCCCCATCCAATGCGACATCACCTCGAAAGAATCCCTCGAGGCAGCTTACAAAGCCGTCGCAGCCCAGACAACACACGTTGACCTCCTAATTGCCAACAGTGGCGTGATGGGTCCGCTTATGAAACCCCCACAGCCCGCAGCAGACGGGTCCCTCCCGCCTCTCTCGCAAGTCCGCGACGAGCTCTTCAACGTCCCCATGGAGGAGTTCAACACCGTGATGAACGTGAACGTTACTGGTTCTTACTACACGGTATTGGCATTCTTGCCTCTGCTCGAAGCGGCGAATAAGAGACGTCCTGCGCCGCAGCAGGATGTTCTTGCTGCGCCCACTGCGCAGGTTATTATCACTAGCTCGATTGCGGGCTTTATTCGCAAGGTGCCGTTTAGCTTTGCTTATAACGCTTCCAAGGCTGCGACTACGCATCTGGTGAAGATGCTTTCGACTGCGTTTGCTCATTACGATATTCGGGTTAATGGGATCTCGCCGGGTCTTTACTACTCTGATATGGCGAATCATATCTTCCAGGCTGCTGGTATCCAGGGTCGGGCTATCTCGGATGGTTCGTTCCCGAGGGAGATGATTCCTGCTACTCGTGGTGGTAGCGAGGAGGACTTTGCGGGATTGATTGTTTGGTTGGCTAGTAACTCCGGTGGTTATATCAACGGTAATATCTTGGTTACTGATGGCGGTCGGATTTCGGTTTCGCCTGCTGTATACTAAGGGTTATGTTGTTCGGGCCAGGTGCAATTTGGGTATACATAGACCTACATAGACTACACAGATTTGAGCTTCAATGAAATAGAAATATGTAGATTGCTTGATTTCCAGAGATGTGCAATCGCTCATGAGTAAAACGCAAATAAAACGCACGCGAGAAGAATATCCATTGGGCCAATCTCAAGGTCATGGTCCAAACATTCAGTAAGTCGCTGTCAATCGCTGGACCAAGTATTCGCCTGAAGTAATCGCCGGGTATTTCTTCTCCACTTGGATTTCCTCGCCATAGGTTCCCGGCAGTGCTTCAATAAGCTTGTCGCTGTTGGGCTGGCAGAAATACGCTACGCTGTACCGAGCTGGATAATCCGAATCATCGTTTTCAGAGCCCTCGGGGGCGGGCGGCTGAATTACCCGATGACGGGTACTCTTGATGGTGTCATTGGACCATCGGGCAAGCAGATCCCCGGCATTGACAACAATAGTATCAGCAATGGGAGTCGCATCCACAAAGGTTCCTTTGGGACTGCGCACTTGCAGTCCACCGTGTCGATCCTGGAAAAGTAGAGTGATTGAACCGTAGTCGCTGTGCTCGCCGGCGCGAACTTGGTTAGGGTTATTCTTGAAGACTTCCTTGCTGACGGGGGGGTAGTGAAGGAGACGGAGATTATTGTCACCGGCATTAACAGAGTCATCGAAGAAATGTTCCGGCAAATTCATTCCCAATGCGATGGCCTGCATGATATGTTTATGCAGGTTCTTTCCCATTTCGAAGAATGATTGCATGGTTTCTTTGAAATGCTTCCCTTCGTCATCGATATGATCGGGCCAGCGATTGGGTAGACCCTCGACTCCCTTGCGACCAAGTTCCATGGTTTCCTTGATGTCTGGTGCGGACGCACGTAGAGTATCAACTCCATCTGTTTCTTCGACGGTCGTTAACTTCTCCCGACCGATTGCGACGTAACCGCGGTTCGACTGTGGGGTCGTCCAGCCCAGAGAGTCCTTCTCACTCTGGGGGCGGGCGAAGAAGCGGGCAGATGACGCAAACACCCCGGACACGACGGATGGGGGAATGCCATGCGCCTTTAGGTAGACGAAGCCAGATGTTTTGAAGGCATTAGTAATAGCGAGGGCAACGGCATGCTTATCGGATGGAGTGCCTGTGAAGAATGGGCCGAAGTCGATCAGCTAGAAGATATTCTATTAGTCGTGGCTTGAGATAACTAGAGATAGTATATACCGGGATCTTCAAATCATCCTTGTCTACCGCAGACGCAGGATTGATCCCTGGGGGCGTATTGGATGCCATCGTGTAGACTGCTGGGAATTGGTATTATTACTGTAGGACACTAAATCAAAAGTAAAGTGAGTTTAGAAGGGGGGAAGATCTCTAGAAGAGGGGAAAGTCGGGGAAAGGGAAGGATCACAAGTCAGCTGCATCAGAAAGATAAGCAAAGCAGACAGATAAGCCAGATAAGTTGATATCTTAGATTTGACATTGACATTGACATTGATATCTGTTTGACATCTGTTGGTGTCTGTTGACATCTATTTAATTGGACGTTTTGTCCATATTCGGGCTTGATCTGATCCACTCCCCCCACCTCCTCCACAGTACCCCTGCATTGTGGACATGGTGTAGCAACTTGACCTTCGAGCCATGACACTAGGGCCACAAATATCACTAATCTCGCTCATATCGCTCTAAAGCGCAAGCAAAAAAGACACTAAACATGCTTCTCACATATAGTGATGAATGGTGACAGGACTCCTCCAAGGAACAAACGGTGCGATTCAACATCTTGCACTACAACCGTCGAAGTAGGAAGCCATTTGGCATCTCTGTCTTCCAGGAGCTTCGAGACTTCACAATCCTTCGCGCTGTGCGTTCTCAGCTGAGTGGCTATTATATTGACCGCGAGAACGGTAGCAGGAGCAACAACTTCGTATGGGTCCTCGATAGACTTCACAAATGAAATGGAGTCCGGAATTGCGGCAGCCAGGAGGTTCCCATCGGCATCGAGAGATAGATTGTCGAGTGGATATCCCGTGTAGATTTTGTCAACTTGAATCAGCTGGTCGTCAACTAATTTGTGGACAGTCACGACTCCAGACACTGAATGAGCCACATAGTATAGTCCATTCTCTTGGACGACACCATTGGCAAAGGAAAATCCTTTGCTAGCAGCGACATGGCACTTCCCTGTGTCAGATCGACAATAGGTGAGACTTCCGCCACCAATCAACATTTCCAATTCCACAAAAGTGCCAACCTTGGCGTTGCGATCGTTGGTAATCACGATCCCCAGACCATCCTTGTCAACAGCCAAGCTGTTAGGCGAAATGATCGCATCGCTGGCAATAGTTTTGACATGCTCAAGTGTCTCCGAGGCATTGTCCAAATCAAAGATCTCAATTGTCGAGTTCGCTCCAACGACCCAGGCATCAAGGAACTCCCCTGTTGTAGGATCGACTGGGGGTCTATGATTGATCAACCAGAATCGTAGTCTGCCTTCAATGTTGCGCACCTCAAATCCATGCAGATCCAGATCGCCAAGATAACCAGCAACGTTGAGCTTGTGGAGGCCATATAGCCCGTCTGGGCCGGGTTGGTCAATATTCAACACTGCGATATGATCCGTGTGAGATCTCGCGGAGATATTGAATTTGCTGCCACCCGGACTCCATCCCTGTCTTGAGCCTACAGAGCTGCATGCTGCGTATAGTTTTCGTCCTTGGTCATCTAACCACATATCCTCACATCCTTCTAAGAGTGGGCTCTGCAGACGAGTGCAGGTCCATGGGAATTCGTCAATTGATTGGATATCTCGGCCGACGCCAATTGTGATAAAAATTATGTTGTGCACATAGGATTTGTATAAAATTCCAATAACGAGCACAACCAAAGACCATACCACAGCTCGTGGCCCTAGAATTCGAGTTCGTGCCATTGTGAAGGGATGATGATGTGCCCGATTGAGGAATTGGTGTTCCAGGTACCCGCACTTTGACCCCCGGGGCTAGTACTTAGCGCTGATGTGAGAACTAGAACTCCATTGAAGCAATCCATGTTTCAATATGAATAAGAATATGATACGCTCTGGATATGCTTTGGATGTGTGACAATGTCCTCATGTCCTCCCCAAAATATGCATCATGAAGTTCTGGGAGGTTCTTGTCCCACCCTCGGCGAGTTCGATTAATAATCGGCCCGACTGGCCAAGGTGGGGGAGAGTTGGGACTCAACAGCTTCGACACATTGGGTTTATATTTCTCTTCCTTCATCTCAACTTCCAATACAAACTATATCCTTTTTCAAATCTCAAATCTATTTATCTGCCAATATGACTGTTTTCGGCGTTGTTATGTACCCCAACAATGAGGACATCCAGTTCGACGAGTCCTACTACATGAAAACCCATATGCCTCTCGTCGAAAGCACCTGGGGACCTCACGGCCTGCTCAACTGGCGTGTCACCAAGTTCCCCACTGCGCTCGATGGCTCGCGGTCTGAGTATCTGATCATGGCCACCCTCGAGTGGGAGAGCCAGGATGCCATGAAGGCCGCTCTGGGGGCTCCAGGCACTGCGGCTGTGTTCGATGATATCCCCAACTTCACCAACGCGAAGCCTGTCACTCTGGCTGGTGCCGACCTGCAGAAGTGAATGGTCGAGAGAGTATGTGGAATGTGATGTCTAGTGTTTGGATCTTGCTGAATTTCATATACAGCGATCTTTCAATCCGTCAATGAATCAATGAAATAGATTGGATTATAATGACATCTTGAACTTGGCATTTCTAATGAAAAGCTATATATCTTGAAAGCTATTTCAAGACAATACGTAACATCAACAGATCACTATCGAGATAGACTAAATTGTAGTCCGACGGAAATCCTTCCAGGCCGTGAGAGGGGTCATCCCCCGCTCTTATCTACTCTCCCCTCATTTGGGTAACCCCTGTACTGCCCAAGTTTTGTATTCGTTTCCTCACTTTCCCTTCTTCAATTCCAATTCCATCTTACCAAAATGTCTCGCCCTCTAGTAGTTGACGTCCACACCCATGTGTACCCTCCCTCGTACATGGCGATGCTACGCGCTCGCAAGACAGTCCCCTACATCCACGATCCAGCAAGCGGCGAACCACGCCTGATAATCTTATCATCAGACGATGATCCATCAATTCCAATTGACGAGCGCGGTCGCCCCGTCGACACGTCCTACTCAGACATCAATGTCAAGCTAAGCTTCATGAAACAGCACGGCATCGACAGCAGCGTGATCTCTCTCGCAAATCCCTGGCTGGATTTCCTTGATCCCGCCGAAGCCCAGCAATGGGCTGAGCGCATCAATAACGATCTAGAAGAAACCTGTGCCCAGAACAATAAGTCCACTGACCCGGACAACACCCTCCCTCTGAAGGGACGATCGACTTTGTTCGCATTTGCGACTTTGCCGCTCAGTGCACCCAGCGCCGATATCATTGTTAACGAGATCAAGAGACTTAAGACCCTGCCTCATATCCGTGGTGTTATTATGGGGACCTCCGGTCTGGGAAATGGTCTCGATGATGAACGGCTCGGTCCTGTTTGGGCTGCTCTAGAGGAAACTCAGTTCCTTCTCTTCTTGCATCCTCATTACGGTCTCCCTGATGAGGCGTTTGGTGGCCCTGAGGTGACGAAGCGCTATGGTCATGTCCTCCCATTGGCTCTTGGGTTCCCGCTCGAGACGACCATTGCGGTTACCCGCATGCTGTTGTCCCGGGTCTTTGATAAGTTCCCGCGGCTACAGATCTTGTTGGCTCATTCAGGAGGCACTTTGCCGTTCTTGGCGGGGCGCATTGAAAGCTGTATTATGCATGAACGCAAGTTTGTCGAGAATGGTGGTGATGTTCCTGGTCCGCAGAGGAGTATTTGGGAGGTTTTGAAGACAAATATCTTCCTTGATGCTGTCGTTTATGGAACTGCCGGGCTTAAGGCTGCTGTTGCTGCAGGGGAAGGTACTGATCGTCTTATGTTCGGTAAGTTTTCTAGTTCTATTGTTGGTATTATTAGAACTGCATTAACTAATACATTTCATAGGTACCGATCATCCGTTCTTCCCGCCTCTGAATGAGGGTGAGAAGGAATGGCTCAGTGTAACGACCAACTATAAGGCTATTGATGCCACTTTTGAGGGGAACCAAGAGGCTGTGGCTGCTGTTTTGGGTGGCAATGCTGCTCGTATTTTGAAACTCGAATAAGCGTATACTATCTAACAGATACTGCTATACTGGTCTGCAGATATAGTCATCTCAATAACAAATGGGGTATAAGGCAATAAAGGGAACAAATGTAAAACAAACGTAATACCATGAGCACAAATTCCATGATCGATGGTCTCTAGGTTGGACCAAACGCAGTCCTCAACACATCCCAACCAACAAGTCGCCACAGTTCCTGAGTAAGCCAATCCGCAAACTTATCCTGATCCGTCTGTTCGCCATCAAGTACCTGAGGAGGCGGAGTATGCGGACGTCGCAGATCTTCCCGAAACAGACGATCATCGCTTCCAAACACAGCCCGGAGGAGAGTCTTTTGCAGACGATCTTTCGAGTTTGCAATAAATTGACGAGCAGGTGATGTCTCGAGGGGCGATTGAAGGGATTCGGCATTAAGCATTCTGTCAAGAAGCCGAACGAGATACTTCGCTTCGAGTTGTGCCTCCTTTGGCATAAGACCCTCGTCAGTCATTGCTTCAAGCCCTTCTGGGAATGTCATCCCAGGGCAGATCCCCATTGGCAGTCGCAGATCATGGAAAACGTGGAGAGCTAGCATTTTGCCCATGCGATTGATGACAAGGAAGAGAAACCCTTCCATTACTTCTTGGTCTTCGGCGCGAGCTAGATTGAGGGAGAGTGCCATCGTGCAGAGGAGGTCCGCGAGGCGAGAGGATACCTCATTCTTGATAGATGAGCTCTTCTCTTTTGTACGTTTGTTTTGTGCATCAGGTTGCGTGACAGACTTTCGGCCTCCGCCCGATTTGCTGTTTCTAGTGACTTGTTTTTGCTTGGACATTGCAGTACAATACAGAGTGAGTGCTGTCATGGTTGATTCGAACAGACCTACTAGGTAGTAGATGACCTGAGATTGGTGTTGTGTGCAATTATCAGCCCCAGCTATTTTGTGCAATGCTTTGTGTGTGAGATGAAAAGCAATTGTCACAGCATTCATAACAGCTTCTATCTTCGGCATATTGGCCTGCTCCGTTTGGGATTTCTGCTCCGTCATATTGCTCTCGTTCTGGATAGTTCGAATCAGTCTCTGCTCTGCAGATTTGCAGAGGATGACTACATCCACAGCCAGAGAATTGGCCTCGGAGCTGCTAGTTGTTTTTCTTTGCAAGGCCTTTTGCGCGATATGCAGCTGTCTGTTGAGGCACAAAACTGTAATGACATTAGTTATCATCATGAGGTCTATGAAAGTTGAATCAAGTACCATCTTCTTCTCCTGAATCATCTGAATCATCCACCAATGGGATGCTTTTCTGCATACTTTTAGGTAGCTTGGTGCGTTTTCTTGCCATGTTCGAGCTATTCCCATTCTTGCCAACAGCAGGCGCCTTGCGTTTGTTTGCCGGCAAGGTTTCATTGTCATTTGCAGTGGCTCTGACACGCAGTTTTGCAACAAGGCCCTCAATACGCTGGTTAAGCTCGTGGACTTGATCTTGTAACCTGCTCTGTCCTGCCTCAGATCGTTCGTATGCTTGTTGCCAGAAGGAGACGCTGTCGAAGAACTTGTCTGTGGCACCAACTTGGCCCAAATCTTTCTTTTTGATGAACTGTCGAATCTGCAAAATGTATTCTGGAATATATAGTCAATAATCGTATCGTCTGAGAGTGTAAAAACTGGATGTCCGCCTAACCTTTAACGCCTTGGCCTGGTGGCTTTCCCTTCACAACAGCCAATGCTAGGGCTAGTTGAAGTTTGGTTGGAGGTGTAACACTAGATTTAGACACTGACATGTCTGTCATTTTGCCAATGGACTTGAATGGGTCATGGCTTGGAATAAAAGGGCTACATCTACTAAGAGAGAACAGAAAGTCTAAGATACTACACGTGCCAGAGTATTATATATCTCCATAGATCTACCTCGATTCTATCGACAATCTCAAGTGGAATAACAATTAGACATATTTTTTATCTACAAGAGAAGGCCAAACAAGTCTTCATGATTTATTTGGCCAATTTACTATAAAAAATAAAAGACTTCCTATTGATTTCGCAATTGAGATCTCATAATACACCAGTTGGCGGCCTGAGGCGCAACATCCACCGCCCAAGCTCCGAACTTGAACCTACAAATTTCCATCTCAACAACACCCCACTTCCAAGAGCTCTAATCTAGGGTTATTTACCTCTCGGAGCCATCACTGTGCTCTATATCACCCTACGCTCTAACCCAGCAACTACGGGGCTAAAACCGCAACATCAAACCCTCCACTTTATCTCCGCAAATCTCCCAGGCGACATTCAGTCGCATAAACCACCAAGATGCCAAACGACGATCTCAAGGCGCACGCCGCCTCAAACCAAGATTTCTACGCTCTGCTAGACATCCAACCAGCCGCTACCGAGACTGAAATCCGTCGCGCATACCGCCGCACCGCACTAAAATACCACCCGGACAAGATCCAAAACCCCACCGCAGCAGACATCGACAAATTCCATTTCCTCCAGATTGCCTACGATGTCTTGTCCGACCAATCAGTGCGCCAGCTCTATGACAATGCACGGGAAGCGCGAATGCGCAAACAGCGCGAACGGGACATGATGGGAGCGGCGAAACGAAAGATGCGCGAAGACCTAGAAGCGCGGGAGAGGGCCGGTGCTGCCGAAATGACTGGCGCTGGTGTCAAGCAAGGTGTCAAGAGATCATGGGCGGCTGGTGGGGATGAGGATGCGGAAGAGAAGCTGCAGCGGGAGATTGACAGGATTGCGGAAGACGGGCGGCGGAGACGACGCGAGGCCGAGGAGAAGGCTAAAAAGGCGCTCGATGATGAGCAAAAGAAGATTCAGCAGCAGGAAGAGGAGGCTCGGAAGGCGGCGGATCGGAGTAGCCAGCGCGTGGACCGCTCGAAGGAGGGTGGCGCGCAGGTCCCTGAGCTCGAGCGTGCGGTGAAAGTGCGCTGGGTACGGGAGGGTCGTGGGCTGGATCTTGATATTGAGAAGCTCGCGGTGCTGTTCAAGCCATTCGGGAAGATTGAGAATACCATTGCGCTCAAAGATAAACGACAACGGATCGGAGAGCGCAAGGAGAAGAAGACTGTTGCCACGGGCGTGGTGGTTTTCACGTCTATTGTGAGCGCTCACGCTGCCGTTATCGATAGCGAGAAGAAAATTCGTCAGCATGCTGGTCAAGATGGCGAATGGGGCCTTATCGAATCTGTCTTCTGGGCCACCGGCAGCCAACCCGATCTAGGTCCTGATACATCATCCAAACCTGTCCAGGCTGAGCCCGCACCTGCACCACCAGGGCCCTCTGCCGACACTTCCGGCAGACCTACTAAACCGTCTTTCAACTTCCAGGGCTTGAAAACAGCCCCCCAATCCGATAAAGCGCCCTCGTTTGGCTCCTTTGCTTCTGCATCTGCTGCTGCAGCTGCCCCAAGTGCAGCGTCATTCAATGCCTCCACTAAGGCTCCAACTGCGCCTAGTCTACAGGAAGTGATGATGATGCGGCTGAAGAATGCACAGCGTGAGAAGGAGCGCAAGGCCCTCGAAGAAGAGCTGATACGGGAAGACGAGGCCGCAGACGCAGCAGAAGCAGCGGCAGCGAAAGGCACATAGCTCTCGCGTTCCATGGAGGCTAGCTTCATTTCGCATGTTTGAAATGTTCAGCTTAATTGTTACCATTGTATTTAATTAGATCCAAGAGATACCCCAGAGCACATTGTATTTGCAATGTTGAGTTGAATAGAGATACAAGAGCTATTTACATCATATCATTTTGTGTTGTGTTATATTATACATGAGTGAAGTGATTAGACACTTAGATGTCTTAGTCTCGCCGCGCTTCGGCTTCCTCTTCCTCTTCCTCTAATTGCTCAACAAATTCCCGCGCTCGTTCACCCTCTGCTTCGGTATTACGGGAAGCGGGGTTTTCCTCTTTTCCACCGGAGATGAAATCTCTAAGCCAAGGCGGAACGAAAGCACGTACTCCGACCTCGTTAGGCTGTTCGACTTCCGGGGCCCAGGATAGCTTGAAGTGGTGTTCATGAGGACGAGCAGGAGCCTCACCCATGAGCGCAACATCAGTCATGACTTCAAGACGGCACAGCGCAAGTCCAATATTGCCAATGCCATTAAGGAATGTCCCCGCACTGCGGTTTCGGCGAGTAGCAGCACCAGCCTTAACAATATCAGCTTCGCCAGAAGGTACAGTCAACTGGAAAGATGGATCATATGTGAGGATGTCCGGGGCTTGCCCATCTTGACCCAAATCATAAAGCTGGACCGGCAAAAGACGCTTCCGCGTAACACCACGGTGATGGGTGCGAATCGTCAACTCCTGGCCGACATAACAGCCCTTGCGGAAATCGATACCTCGAGCCATATCCATATTGCACTGCAAAGGCAAAGCCGATCCAGTAATAATCTCCGCCTGGCCCTCCGCAACACCGTGCAAAAAGCGACGGACAGTGTACGAGTCCAGCTGGACCTCCGGCCCAGCGACCTGTGCCTCATCCGGGAAATAGGTGCGCAGACCGTCCGAGCCGGGCGTGATAATGCGGGATCCGAAACCCGGAGCACGCGTATCAATGCACCCGGCAATTTCAGAGGCGGGGGAGAAGGGTGACGGGGATTCCGACTCGAGACTATATGCAGCCCACCGTTGCGGCTCGACGTGGTTCTTCCAGGAAGACCAGATTGTGCGCTCGCCTTCGTCCAGAGCGCGGAGCTTGAGCTTCGAGCGCAGCTTGTGTTTCTTGAGGTGTTTCAGCAGCACGGGGACCTGATCCTTGTCTACCTCCACTAGCCAGCCTGACTCGGCACCCTGGGCCTCAGCGCCGGGGAGCGGGTAGATGAAAGCATCGTTCAGAACTCGGCCTTGCGAGTTGAGGAATGCGGTGTATGCGCCTGTGCGTCGAATGCTTCGGTTTGGGTCGTTGGCTACTAGCATGTTCTGGGTCATGAGGCCCTGGAGGAAGGTTGTGCTGTCGGTGCCGGTGACGGAGATCAGTCCGCGGTTGGTGAGTCGGCTGTACCCTGCGGTCGGCGGAAAGGGGGCATTTTGGCTCTGTTCGGTACGCTGTGCTGTGGTAGAGAATAATCTACTGCGGCCCAGGCAGCGGCTACAGACCGAGGGGCGTGGGCGCATCATGGTTGAGCTGGTGTAGCAGAGCCAATGTGAGTCGATCTATTTCTTTACAAATCGGGCGATGACGTTGGGCGGTGGGTTATGGCAGAAGGAGACTATAGACGACTTGAGGTCTACAGTTACACATGCAATATGCCTCTCTCCTTGTAGTTATAACAATAACACTCTTTTGGTCCTGTTACTTCCATAAATTGATTGTTTGAGCTTTTTATCCGATAAATCAATGGCTTGAAACATGAGAGCGTGCAGAATAGGCCTCATGATTGACCATGCCCTCAGGTGGGGTTCTGCATAAGCGCTAACAATGCACAATAAGTCCCCTTGCCACTCATCTATTTCCAGCCTATAATACCAGTACTGTGCTAGCATATTGCTGCAAGTCTGTTACCGTCATGTCTGGCCTCGAGGCCTTCGCTGTCGCGGCTAGTATCATACAGGTCGCAGAGTTGGGCACTAAACTATCTGTCCAATTATTCTCCTTCTACCGACAAGTCAAAAGTGCCAATGAATCTATACAGCTCCTATCAAACGAGATCGCACTTGTCAGTGCCATTTTGCGTGAACTGGGTGACAGCTTGCAAGATGAGGGGTCATCAAAGCTCTGTTCGGATGAGGCACTTCAGACTCTGAGCCGTGTCCTAAATCAGTGTCGGGACGTGCTTGGACAGATCCAGAGAGTGATTGACTCTAACAACCAGACTGGTACGTCTCGCTTTCAGCAAGTCACTGGGAAGTTTCGGCTAGTACTGGTTGAGCCGAGTCTGGATCGGCTGAAGACGAACTTGGAAAGGCTGAAGTCAACGATGTTGTTTCTGCTCAATGTGATAATGTATGCAGGCCAGATTCGAAGGTATGTATGTCTGTTCTTCATTTATACAATGGCCTATTCATAAGGCAAAGCAGCAGCAATGTCCCAACCTTACTCCATGAGCAGCGTAGCTTGATAGAAAATATATTGGAGGACAGACGCAATGACTGCCAAAAGCCATGTCTTCCACATAGGGCCGTATCTCCAGCTTTTTCTACACAGACAGTAAGCAGCAAAACAGCCAGTGTCGGGACTGATGGAATCTCCAATCAGAAGAGCGATCCAAACTTATACCAGCCAATTTTGAAGGAACAACCTTCAGATTGGCCTAGGAATAACAATAAAGCTCGAATCGGATCCGATGAAGCCGTGGATAATATTGATTCTGCTGAGCTCAAGGAATACAACATTCTTATAGAAAGCATGCTTCGTAAGGTCGACTTGTGCAAATCCAAGCTTGAAGATAGCCGCCACTTACGAATCAAAAACGGTGTCTTGAATATCCACTCCGGAGAAATCGTGCGATCCCAATTGGAACACGGTCCCTCTATTCATATCGATCCTTTACTTTTTGCGTGCGTCTCATATGTTGAGCTTGTCGTCTTGACCTTGACTGACGTTGATAGCGAGCAAAAAACCGAGAAAAGTATTTCAAAGCGAACACCTGCAGTATACTCCTCCAGCGCCACGTCAGAAGAATATATGCTCCCAGTGGATAAAACCTGCTATTATGGGTATCGGGGGCCACAGATATCTTGTACGCCACATCTATTCAAAATGCAGAGAGCAAATTGCAATAGACGAACACTCACATTATCCAATTAGTCGATTCCGCAGGAGACGACGAGATGCCCGAGTTTGGGGCCGAGCCCAAGCCTAGTAGATTCCAACCCAGAGCATCAAAACGTTCTACACAGTACGTGCATCATCCTTCAGCGTTCAAAGCTCTTTACTAGAGAGAACTAACCAGAGTGTTGGGATTACCCAGTCGCCGTTCCTTACCCCCAAACGATGAAACTAATGTAGAGTTTCATTTCGACGAGCGCAGTGGGCGCCTTAGGAAAAGATTTCAAGGCCGTGGCGGATCTAACAAGCGAAAACAGGTCGCATATGTCAACGCAGATGACACCGTGACCAAGAAAAATGACGAGGGACGTGATTCCAACAATGAATCACAAGAGATACCACCTATCCTTACAGCCAGCCCCCAGGAGAGTGGGATATTTGGGCATCGTGTTGATGATTGTGATGATGATGGTGATGATATTCATCAGGAGACATTTTCAGAAAACTTCTTGCTACCAGGCAATCTAGAAGACTTGTTGGCGAAGTGGACAACCCTTGACGGAAGTGAAATCCTGCGTGGCAAATTGATGGCATTTTAGTCAAGGGTGCTACAAAGCTTTTCGTGCTAGTTGATACATATTCAATTTATGAGGCGTTTCACATGGTATAGTGGTTTACGTATAGCCCTGGAGAGTAAGCGATTGCTTACTGATTGTTTTGTTACATCATCTTGTTATGATATCATCCCTGTTGTTTACCATGGCTGTTTGCTAGTTTTACAGAGGTATAAATACCCTGTCCCTTCACAAATTCTGCAATACAGATCTCTCACTCCATCACCTCCCTACATGCTCCACACACTTCCTATCAGGAAGAGCTCAACTTGACTCAAGTATGGGAGGGCTTGATGGCACAGAGCGCACAATATCATCAGGAGATAGCGCAGTTACAGCGGGCCATTTCTTATATACCGGACCTACAACGCCAGTTAAATCCCCATCAAGCAGACAGCAATGCGTCAGTGCTTGGTCTAGAGAAGCCTCTTGATGTCATGGCAGTTGATCAGCCGCGAACTGACCATGATTTGCAGTCTCTTCTAGGTTTGTTCGTTATTCCCAAAGACGTTGCTACAGGCTCGCCGGGCAACCGGCGTAAGAGACTGGCGATGCCGATTGAACGCAGGACAACCTGGTGCATGGGTTCCCTCCGCGGGTCTGCCAAACGGCCCAGTAGATATCATTCCCCGCTAATCATTCGGTGTGGCCGATAATATCAACAGCAAGTCCTGCAAATATAGGTCCCCTCCAGGATGGCGGGAAACCGTTGTGAGCTGATGACAGTTCTGTCCTGGGCAGAACAGTTCTAGGTCAACATCGACAATACTTTTGGTGTAGTATATAGTCAGGAGGACGCCAATGGTAACGAGGTTCGCTTTGCACCTTCGGAGAACCCTGTCGACAAGGTTACTGTGGCGGTTCTCCAGCTTTGATAACTTGGTGAAAATCCCTGTCACCTTCATCATTTGTCTGGCACGCGCATTGTGCTGGTGAGCCTCTGTTAATCTATCTCCATATCGTGGCCGAGTTGCTGATATTGTGCGCGCCTTAACCCTAGTGATTTTGGAATCATATATACTCCATTGCACTAGTCATCTTCACATATTGACTCCACATTTCTGGCATGCACTGAAGCCTGAAGGAAGAGATTGATTATATGAGAAAAAAGTGATCAAATGTTATATGTAGGTCTGCGTTCCCTTGCGATGCAAACTTCCTATCGCAACTAAGCTCATCTGCGAGCGATCATCATCTAGGGCGGAAACGCCTAGCGTTTATCCAGTTCCTGGCTCCAAAGTGCTGCAAAATCCGTGGTCTCTTTGGTAGTCTTCTCAGATATCATTCTATTTAGATGTCTTTTCAGTTTTATAGGTCAAGGGCAAAAAATAGTGAGAATGGGTTTGTGAGACTGACCTTTCTAAGAGATATAGCACATCAATCAGTTCCGAGATTTATGGATAACTTCATATACCCGTCAATCAATTTCAGGCCTCATATCATCATACTGCTCACTCTACTGAAGCCTCGACATCTTCGTCTCCCAACCTCATCAACGTATTGATGGAGAAAAAACCGCATCTCGTGCCCGCCCGCAGAGAAACTTGGTTGTGACAAGACGTTGGCGTCGAAAAAGAATCTAGGCAATCACATCAGGAGGGTGCACAATGAAGTCAGACTCTTGCGTTTATATCAAGAGGCACGGGGACTCGATCTAGTTCTTACCCGTATATGCTGGTCATATCTGAGAAGACTACCAAAGAGACCACTGAAAAGACAAAACATGAGCTGTGAACGACAAACCCGATACCATATACTAATTAGTTCACAGGTATGTTCATACCTACAGGTCTCATCTCTCTTGTCTCTCTCTTGTCTCTCTCTTGTCTCTCTCTTGTCTCTCTCTTGTCTCTCTCTTGTCTCTCTCTTGTCTCTCTCTTGTCTCTCTCTTGTCTCTCTCTTGTCTCTCTCTTGTCTCTCTCTTGTCTCTCTCTTCCTTTCTAACTGTCTCAACCAAGATGAATCCCACTCCTATACCAAAGCCACCTCATGCCTTTACTGGCATCATCACTAGATCCGGACGAACCAAAGTAGTCACACAATATTGGAATGATCTACGACCAGCATATCTCGACCTTTCCGCCATTTGACTCTACGACAAGAAACCAGTGCTAGCCTTTCGTTAGCAAATGACAACATGATGATGATCTTCTCAAAAGTGAAACATAAAACATCCAGAGATCACTTTGAGTCCTACACCTACCTCTCACGACTCCGGCTGCTCATGTTCTCCCTTATGTCCCTCCTCTGACACCTCCTGATCAACGCATCACCTGGTGTTGACCTTGCTTACATTTACTCTGGATATTCACGTCGGCATGACTGGTCTGTTGTTACATTTCGACACTTGCAGCGTGGAATACTGCCTCTGGCGCTCATACCACACCCTTTATTACAACACAGATCCAAGCTCTGCGAAGAGCTAGCGACGAAACAGTAAATTGGCAGCGGTGTATAGCAAGCTTATACAAGAGGTTCGGAGTATGCAGCTGGCTATGTCGCCTCTCCTCAGCAAGCTCAGCAAGAAAATTTTCACCATAGGGATAATCGTCGAATAGGCTGTCACTCTCAGGGTACAACACCAAACCATGTTAAATTCCTACTTAAGATGCTTACCGACGACGGAAGCCTCGACATCAATTTCCGGAGACTGTCTCCATTGCCTGGATGGCATTCCGTCGGGTTGAAGACTCAGAATGTATCTTGTTCTCGGTTCCTGTACACATTCGGACAAGCACTGGAACTTCCGAGACACTGATCATGATGCTCGCGAACAATGTTGACACTCAACTCTTGATGTCGAAGAAGGCGTGTAAGAACAGCCCACTTTGGTTAGATATGAAGTGGGTTTTTTCGTGGATGGCATTTTTCAAGGGAAAATTAACCTGATGAGGGCGATACAAAGGCAATATTGCCGATGGATTCACGAAACCTCTTGACAAGGAAAATCATGACAAGTTCGTCAACGGGTCGACGGCAAAAGAATACGGGAATGGTCTCAACTTGTGAAATGGACTTTCCTAAGTATAACGTCTGACAGGACTGCTGGGCGGCTTTTATGGCCCTGTGTTGTCTTTTCGGCGGTCTTTTCAGGTGTCGTTCTGCGTAGATGCTTTGTCAAGTTTATAGGCCGATGAACAAAAGGGCTTAATTTGTGCAATGGACATTTCTATAACCTTGGATGATAGTGAACTTATGCGAGAGCCTTCAATTCCCAAAATGGTAGTATCGAGTCTATAAGAATAATAGGAATTTCATAGTGAGTATGCTACTGTAAAGAAGTTCTTATACATTGTTTCCCTTGCCAAAGAGCCATTAGGAAAGTATTTTCTCAAAAGGCTATGGGGAAAGCCATCTTAAATCCGATGCTACACATGCTGGGCCATCATCCTGATTACCCTGGAGACTATTTTCCCAATGCTTTGGCAAGGGACGTTCAAGCCTACGGCTGGAGGTTCAAAACAATGCATACCTTATGTCTGATGCTCGCTTGCATTGCAAAAAGCCAAGCAAAAAGAAGCTGCCCGAACATCTTCAGTACGTAACGGAGGATCGAAGTTGAAAAAAAGTTCACAAATGGAAATTGGAGCTGCTCGAAACATTATCAAAATCCGACACCAAAGAATCCCAGAGCAAGAGATTCCAACGCAAAGACAGTAAGTACAACAGACTCTTTCTTTAGAGACACAAATAAGGGGGGAGATAGGAGAGAAAGGAGAAAAGGGGAGAATAATAAAGTGACGCATAGGTAAGTCGGCGAAAGAAATCCTGGCCAAAATCCGGCAACCAGGTCCTCCTTTTTGCCTTCGCCAACAAAACACATGTCGAGACCAATGCGGAGGTAACCCAGAACGAAAAAAAGGTAAACTAAAGGGGGGATAAAGAAATTCAAGAGAAAAAAAAAAGATGGGGAAAGGGCGTTATCGAGAAGTCAAATGGGAAATCAAGGAACAAGAGGAAAGAGCAACGGGGGAAGCGTCAGATAGATTGACTCGTTCCAGCATTTCCTTCTGCTGGCCGCAGCCACTGTACATCCATTGACAATCCAGGAACTCGTCGCGCTCTCGTGTCCAAACAAGTATTGTGTCATCGCTATCGTTTGTTCGCCGGGACAGCATCCCATAGCGCTCACATCCACCTCCATCGCCTTCCGTATCGCATGCGACGACGATGTCTGCGCCGCGGGTAGTGTATTATCGTGGGAACCCAAGGGATTCCCCGGTAATTGATTATTATCGTACAATGGCGGAGGTTCGAACCATCGAGCCTAAAAAATTTCGAAGAAGAGCATTGCAGAATGATTGACACGGGGTATCTTGCGTTTTGTTTTGTTGGTTTACCAGGCCCAGACCTTGAGCTGTACGAGAGAAGATCAGAGGTTAGTAGATGCATTCGAATGGGCAATTGCAGGAAAACTTACAAGGGAATCCCAAGATCCAGTGCATAGACTGATGCCATCATTGCTGACGCCGAGACAGCTCACGCGATTCTCGTGGCCGCTCAAAGAACCCACCTTGTCACCACGCAGAACGTCCCATACCTAAATGATGGATTAGCGTTTGATCTCGCTGTTAGAAGAAGGCTTCCACGTACCTTGCACTCGAAATCATCGTAACCTGCGAACAATAGCCGGCCGGATACTGAGAACGCAACGGAAGTGATACCGCACAGAACTTGATCGCTCTATAAGGGGAAAATCCAATGTCAGTTTTTGTCAACAAGATCAGCGAGTCGAAAAAAAGATAATTACCTGGTAGGTGTTAAGTTCGCGGTCGGCACGGATATCGAACAGACGGCAGGAAGTGTCATCGGAGCCGGTACCGAAGGCATTGCCATCGGGGAAGAACTGAACGGCATTGATATCTGATTCGTGGCCGGCGAATGTCTGGACGGACTTTCCGGTACGGATATCCCACAATTTGGCGAAAGCATCGCATGCACCGGAAACAAAGATGTTCTGGTTGGTTGGGTTGATGCTGATCGAC